AATCGTCCTTCGAGCAGCACTCTCTCACAAGGTCGACTCCGTCGAGCCGAGGTAGTTCGTCAGGCCTTGATGGAATCCCTCGTCGGCATGGTGGCTCAGCATCAGTGGCGCCCACGTGACCAGCTCCTTCTGTGCAGCTTGCAAGGAAAAGCCTGTCAGCCTGTTCTCGAACAAGGCACTGCAGCCATGTAGGTACTCCTTCAGCTTCTTCTCTCTCTGCTGCTTCATCCGGGGCCACTTCGACACGCGGAAGAGCTTCGTCGGGCCGAGATTGTTCAGGTCCAGCATCCTCGTCTTCAGGAAGCTTATCGTGTCCTTCGCGAACTGCGCTCAAAGCCGCTCGCAATCGGGGTACTTGCTGCGGAAGGCATGCCCGTCGATCTGCTTCTCGTGCATGGTGTAGGTGTGCGTGACTGGGTTGCCGTCTTTGTCGATGCCCCGCACCTTTACGCGTTTGCCCCCTCCGCGCCCGTAGACCGCCAAGAAAGCCGAAAGCCACGTGCCTTCGACACCCCCACCGAACACCTCTCCGCACTCTAGGTAGCGGTGGCGGAGGTCCCCTGTCGCCTCGTCGATGTCATTTGTCACTTCGGTGACATCGACCTGATGGAAGTGACAGACAAGGGAGTGGAGTCAGAGGGTGATTCCAAACGTGGATGCATGGGACAAAAACTACAACATTAACAGGGATAGAAGCTCACCTCCCTCTTCTGGAATTTGAGGTTGAGCTCATTCATCACTCCGAGCACGTCCGCCAGGAAAAAAAGACAGAACTGGAACTTGTAACAGATGACGACCTCATACAGCTCATGCCCGTACTCATAAAAGAGAATGATAGCGGCGCCAAGGACCTTACAGAGGCGCCTCACAGCCTCACCCCTTGAAAGCCAGCGCACGGTGTGAATTCCTTGCACTTCAAGGTTGGTGTTGTGTATTGCCCGCTGCAGGTACTTGAAGCGTTGACTCCAGACACAGGAACGTCCCAGAAGATCGGCCAGAGTCCGAATCACAAGGTCGACCATGTCGAAGTCTGGAGAAGCAGTGGCCGCATCCTTCACCGCCAAGGCTTCCCTGCATGGTGCACACGAAGGAATTTTAGACAAGCAGTTGTAGGAACTCTAAGCGACTGAAATGACAAGCGGTTAAACCTGTGGGCGATGCAGTGCGACGAGAGGAGGTGGGGGATGTGCTCGCGAAGTCGGGCGACGAGACCATTGTCTCGGCCGACCATGACAAAGGCGCCGTCGGTGCTCATGCCGGTGATTCGGGAGAGGTCGATGCCAGTTGCTCGCAAGTGAGCCAGAAGAACGGCGAGGAGAGACGCGGCATCGCACTTTTCGACGGTCAGGAGAGCAAAAAATTCTGTGACAACACGATGCGCACGCAAGGAGGTCAGATAAACAATAAGATGTTTACCGCGAGTACGGTCAGTGCTCTCGTCGCAGCTGATGCCGAGGTAGGGTGAGGCGAGAATGTATTGCATTTGTCGGCGCTGCAGGTGGGTTGCGAGGCTGCTGACGAGCTGACAAAAGCCATACCTGTAGTAGCAGAAGTGACAGCAGGGTGTTGGTTAGACCTTTATGAAAAATGAAGAACATGGTGTACTTCGAATAAGTGCATTACCGTGTCAGGTAGACTCCGTAAGACTGCAGCGGAATGTCCGGTGTCTCCTGCTCGGCCATGAAGCGGAGTAGCCTCGGGTACATGCTGATGGGTGCATCACACTTGCACAGGAAGTCGACGCAGCGTAGGAGCCTCATGACACGCTTCCCCTCGATGTCAGTCCGCGCGTAATTCTCCATGCGTCTCTGGGTGCTGGCGATGTCTTCGGCGATCTCCATCTGACGCTTGACTGCTACTTCGTGGGCTGTCGTGTGTTCGTGGAACCGCATCGCTTGCGTCTGCAGGTCACGTGCCCCGTCGCGGCTGTTGGAGTACGGTGTTGTCTCTTTGCCGAAAGCCTTGCACACACTGCACTTCAAAGCAGGGTAACCGTCTTTTGTTTTCGTTAGCAGAAGCCAAGGGAAAAATGGAAGCCAGCTGGTCTTATACTTGTGCTCAGCCATGAGATACTTCTGCTCGATGAGTTCCTTCTTTGAGAGATTCGGCGGCTCGGGTTCTGGAATACCAGGGGCCTGAGGTTCAGGCGACGTGCGAGGCGGCGACCGTCGATGTAGCTTCCCGCCGAGGACTATCGTGCTCTGGGTGTATTTCCCGACGCGTGCTTTCTTCCCAGATGAAATCGTCGACGCACACTCGACCGTGTAACGCACGGTCGTGGCTGTCTCGCAGTCTGGAACCAAAGGGCCCCGGCTAGATGAGGCGACAGCGGGCGGAGGTACATAGGGAGCGGCGGGAGTAGATACGGGTTGTGATGGTGTAACGACTGCGGTGGGAGACCGCAAGATGTCTAGAGCGGATCTACGGACCTCCACGGGGGGGTCCCTACCTAGTCCAGAACCATCATCGGCAGTGGGAGACTCACCAGAGTCTCCTACATCCGCCATGGCTAGAAGCGGCAGATATGATGGAAATGAGAAATTGGCGCGACGAAACTAGAGGAGACAGAAGACTAGAGCATCTCGTAGCTGTGACGTGAAGAACAGAAAAAAACTGGGTTGGAGGAGGAGCTGGTGAAGAAGACGGGAAGAGGACCAAGAAGCACCATCTTTCGATTTTCATGGATGGTGCATAACCCATCCAGGTTCCCGTATCGCCATGGCAATAACGTCAACGGCGAGACGCACCTGCGCTGGCATCGTCTGCACAGAGATGATTGGCGGGGTGATGTCATACAGAGGCTGACATTGCCGCGCTCATCATATTCTGTCCTCGTCTGCTGCGTGCTGAGTCACGAATGCCAGTTGACGGTTGCAAATGTTGCTGTAATGGCAACATACAGCGTGTTCACGGCGGGAATCTTGCCGAGTGCAGATTCCCCACGTGACGCATGCTGGGCGTGTTCAATGGACTGGGCCCCGTCACGCGTAAGGGGGCCATTTCGAGGAAACTCAGGGTCCGCATGGATGTCGCATTCAGGGTTCGTACGCGTTACTCCCTGAAAACTCAGTGTTGGGATAACGCAAACCCTGAAATTTTCAGTGTTCACAAACATACAACCCTGAAGAGGTTAGGGTTAAAAAAAACCCAACCCTGAAAATTAAGGGTTGGCCAAAAAAATACCCAGTGAAATCAGGGAATCAGGGTAAAATACCCTGATAACGACAGCCCTGCTTGCCACTGCTGCTGCTGCTGCGGTGGTTGCAGTGGGGGAGGCTTGGAGACGCCTAAGGCACCTGAGCTGGGGGGAGGGGTGTCGCATCTGCGGCAGGTGCAACCCCAACCACGGGGTTCCCAGAGTGAGGAGACTCCCCTACGGGCTTAATTGAGGGGAGAGGGGTGTGTTCGGCGAGCTGGGCATCGGTGCAAGCTGCACGGAAGGCGGTCTCGAGGGAGAGTAGGTGCGCGACGAGATCCGCCGCTGTGGAGGAGGAGGCCAGATCATGGAAGAGGAACGAGACAGCCGAGGGCGGCAGAGGACGGGGTCGAGTAGTGGGCAGCAAGCTCGTTCCAGAATGCCTGAGCCGTCACCTCCGGCTCAAAGTAAGAGAGTTCATCGACGGGCAGACACTGATTGATGGCAACCTGCGCGGCGTCGTTGCAAGACTCCCAGATAGAGCAGGCGGTCCGGGCCGCTGCATACTCCTCACGCTGCGCTAACGTCGCCTCGGGGCCTAGGGGATCAGAGTGAGGGGGGGGTGGGCAGCTCACCAGTGACTTAGGCCGCCAGTGACTCGCCCTCCACATGCTAAATCGGCAGCCACCAGCGGAGAGGAGAAAGCGAGGTCGTGAACCCGATCGCGTGGCCCTCGGCGTCCAGTCGAAGGACGAACACCAACGTCGACTGGGCCGCCATGCCAGCAGGAGAAAGATACGCGACACGTACCCGGACAAGTGCTGATGCGGACGTGGGCGGCGTACAACGGCACATCTGACGGCAGCGGTGGTGGGCGGTAGGGCCGGCAGCAGGTCCAGCTGCAGATGCGACGACGACGGCTAGAAGCTAGTGACAGCACCGGAGGTTGGCGGCCCGCAGTACTGGCAGATGCGGCACAGGCAGTGGCGGTGCTCGTGGCGACGGCAACGGCTCTGGAGGCTGCGGCTACTGTGCGAGCGGCAGTGGCGCCGGTGGCGGCTGTGCTAGCAGCGGCGGTGGCGGAGACGCCGGCGGCTGCGGCTGGCGGCTGTGGCTGCTACACTGGCAGCTGCGGGGCTGGCGGCGTGAGAGCGGGCAGGCAGCAGGTGGCGAGCATCAGGCGACGAGCGGCTACAACGGCAGCGGCGGCGGCAGCTGCAGGCGGGGGGTGGCAGGTGGCGCCTGTAGCGGCAGCGGCAGGGGGCAGTGGCCAGTGAGCAGCTGGCGGCGAATAGCAGGCGGCGGCTGCAGCAACCGCAGCGGCAGTGGTGGCGGTGGCTGCGGGCAGCGAGCGGCAGGCGGCGGCTGTGGGCAGGGAGCGGCAGGCGGCAGCTGCAGCGGTAGCTGCGAGCAGCTGGCAGTGAGCAGTTGGCGGCGGGCAGCAGGAGGCGGCTGCAGGCAGCGGGCGGCGCACAGCGGGCGGCGCACAGCGGGCGGCGGGGAGCGGGCGGCGGGCAGAGAGCGCAAACTAGGGCGGCAGGCTAGGGTGGGAGGTGAGGGGGGAAGCCCTAAGGCGGAAGAGCGGAAGCAAGGTCCTAACCCAGCAATGGTACCATGTCACACTACTAGAATTAGATGAGTGCAGGTATGCAGGATAGAGTACCTATAGTAGTGATCCCCACTATAGTCTGCACCTAGGTAGTGTACAATGTGTCCTCTAACGCTCTCCTCACCACAAACATGGCAATGGCCAGCTTCCCTTACCTAAACCGTTCCAGTCCAATCCCACTCCCTTGCTGTCCCCACCCACAGCTCTGTACTCATGAGATGCCAAGTTCTTGCCTAGCAAGTACACGAGGTTAGTTGGGCGTGAGTAATATTGTCATGTATCTGTACAAAGACAGGCCTCTTTAGAAACTTGCTACTGCTGCTCGAGTGGAGCAGCGTCTAGAGGAATGCTATACTACATTAGAAAGAGACCTGAAAAATGTGAACTCCAAAAGAGATTATTCAAACCCGTAAGCGAAGGTTGCCTTGTCCCCTTCGCTGCTCAGCTCTTATTCTCCAACCCACCCCCACCACAGCCGTTCACAGGTCGTAACCTAATAGGTCCAATCGCTGGGAAGGTTAACAGCGGGCGCAGCGACACCAGCAGCAGCGGCAGCGCGGGCCCGGGACCTGCCTCCCTTTCCGCCCTTCCTGCCACTCCCCGCAAGCATCTCCTCAGGGGCGAGCTTGATCACGGGGGCAGCGCGCACACCCGCGCCTGCTCCACCACGCTTCGGCCCCGCAGACTCGGGCTTAACGGCGGTGGTGCCGGGAGCGGCGGCTGCGCCTCCAGGAGCGGCGCGGTTGAGAAGGACGTTGTTATTCTCGTCGACATCGAGGCCGAACACGTGCACGAGGCGTGCGGGAAGGTACACTGTTGCGCCGGGGCGCTGGGATTTGCGCCCGGGGTGGCTGGGCTCCGCGGACGGCTTGGCGGAAGCGGGAGCGGGTGCAGCGCGGGGGAGGAAGACGCCAGTGCCGTTGCCGGGGGCCTGTCCCTTGCGGGAGTCCGCCTCGCATTCCGACACGCGGCGGAGGGGGGAGCCCTTGGCGGCCTGCGCGCCGTTGTGGTTGTTGCGCCTGTGGGGCTGCGGTCCCGCGCGCCTGTTGTTCCCCTGCTGCAGCGCCGCATGCTGGTTGTTCCCCTGGTAGCGGCTGCCCGCGTGGCTGTGGTTCATGTGCGGGGCGCCATATGCGGGCGGCTGGTGCATGTGGCGGGCGGCGGGGACGTGCGACGGGGCGGCAGCGCGCAGAGGCGTGGCGCAAGCGGGCTTAGCGGGCTCGGGGTCCAGCGCGAGCTCCTGGATTCTGCCGGCTGCGGCGAAGAGTAGATCCCACGCCTCCGCGTTGGGGTTCTGGCCTAGAACGGACGTGGGGGATCCGCTGCGGGGGGGCGACGCGATGGAGGAGGACGAGGTGGAGGTGGAGGAGGAGGAGGAGGACTGCGACCAGAGGCGGGAGGAGAGGCTCGACGTGCGCGACACGGACGGCGAGGAGGAGAGCGAACTCGAGGGGCTGGACCCGCGGTTGCTGTGGCTGGCGATGCTGGCGCTAGAGTGGCTGTGCGCGATTCCGAGGGCGCGAGAGTGGTAACGCGCAGCCTCGGAGTGGTGCGGCGCGGCGTAGTGACCATTGGGGCTGGAGTAGAAGTGGCGGCTGGCAACGTCGCTGGAGGAGTCGCTCGAGTCGGAATCGTTGTCGTCGGCGATGCACGACTGTGCAACCCACTCGGCGATGGAGCCCTCGCCCTCCACGGCTGGCGCCTCGGGCTCGTCGATGAGCCACGTGGGGAGCTTAAGGTCGTTGGAGGAGGGGATGGACGGAGTGGATTGGGGCGACTGCCATGCGCTGGTGAAGGGTACTACGGGCGCAGCGAAAGCTGAAGACATACCGAAGGCGTTCATGTTGTACTCCATTGCTGCTAAGAGAAGTAATTGGCCTGAAGCTGGAAGGTACTGGTGACTGCGTAGGAGGCGGTGACGAAATACTTGAAGCTGATTTCTAAGATGGAGGAACGCAGGTAGCAGCAGTTGGGTTGCCAAAATTCCACTTCACTTAGATGCTTTTGGTTGCAGTTGATCAAATTGGCTTGTGAGGGTTTGAGCAGTAGAGCTGTAAGCAGAAGAAGTTGTGCTGAATCGTCGATGGACCACTCAACTCTTGTACTCGTCCCACAGCGCAGGACAAGATGTGGGTGCGGCGCGACCGAAGCGCCAATCGTTCAGGAGGACTGTTTGCGAAGAACGAAAACATTTGCTGCTGCTGCCTGACCTAGCCGGAGCGCATGGAGGTGGGCCTACCTGACTGTTCTGACCCGACGGAGAAATTCGAAGGAGCTGCAGTGCCGCAATCAAGCGCAGGTGCGCAGGAGAATCTCCGTATCATGTGCTTGGAGAAACCATTCACTCCCAGGGATCTGCCTGCGGCTCCGGATTCCCACCTCTCTGCTTTTGCTGTTCAGCGGAAGCCTCGGGAACGGCCCTGAATGGGTCCGCCAGAACAAAATGGAGGATTGTTCCGAAATAACACCTGCGCCTCGCTAAATAACACTCCATCAATCTCCAGCATCTGCGAACCAACCTGAAGTGCTGCCGCAGGATGGCATTCGCTTTTCATGTTCCCTCCCAAATTCCATTCCTGGCTGTTAGGTTTGTGGGGAACAATCATGACCCAGAAAGGCACCTTCACTCTAGGGGCGGCCGCCTTTGCCGACCTGATTGGAATCCAAACCAAGCAGCCAGGATGACCCTCAGGGCGGCACGAAATCCCCAACTGCCTGGCGTGAGCGCTGTCAAACGCAGACTCTTGTCACCAGGTATAGTTTTGCAATCAGAATGAAGGAAACCTATGTTAGAAACAAAAACACAATTTCAAGTAGGTAAGACAGCAACCATAATCAAAATACCTTCATGCATATTTGCTTTTATTTTGAGTTCAAGGGGCCGTTTATGATCCATTATATTTTTGTCAAACGATATCATTCACATTTTGTTATGAATCGTAAAATTGAGAACCAATAATGGTATTACCAATGAAATATTACACAAATCGGCAATGTAGGAAACTGTCCAAGCACCATGATATAGCTCGGCCCGAAGCGAAGGAACGAGTTCATGAAATTGTGCTCGGAGGAGCGCACTTCACGAGCACAAACATGCATACGGCTATTTAGAGGCCACATTTTGGTGATGCGTCACAGATGTACATGATTATTAGCAATAAAACGCTGTTTTAGTGGTGTGAGCTTTACTTATGCTAAATATACTACATTGCAAATTTCCTTGCACATTTCAGACTACATTGTTTATCATAGTTCATTTGCGAATCACGATGCCGTGGCGATGGACCCTTCAAGTGCAGGCGTGTTTCCCGCAGCTTTCCATTATCCAATCCCCCACGTTGTGTGACGCGTACCTTCGGTGTCAAATGGGTCGTCCATATTGACCGCAGACGGTTTGATATTGAAACATGCTTGGCCTGTTCCCCCGACAGGTTACGGCTCCCACCAGCAAACTGGCGCCAGTGCCTTGGGCTTGTTTCATTTGCGCAAAACGGGGGAGCCCAACTCCAAGGCACTGTCGTTTTGTCTTGAAGAGGGGCTGTTCCCGAGGGATTCCCATCGCCAATAATTTAGGAAATCCACTCTCGAGAGTGGCTGCTGCCATGGTAATCTCCCCTCTCACTGTGCCTTGATCAGTCGAGCCTGTCTCGTTTCCACAGTTAGTCCCATCCTGCATTACTTCTCTCTAACATTTCGGCGGCCACGATCACGCGCTAACCGTTCCAGGATACCGTTCTTAAAACCTCCAGGTGGAATCAATCGAGCACGGAACATCCACGCAAGCCGGTGCTTCTCGCACAATAAAAACGGATCGCAGGTGCCGCGGGAAACCGAGAATGGGTGTCACTCCCGTTGCTTCTCGATCCGCCTCTGCCACATGTCGAGAACCGCTATCATTCAGATGCGCGCACAGGTTATTCCCGCTGTTCACCGCGGCGCTCCTCGCGGCCGCGTCGTGGTCCGCGTTGGTGCATCCCGCGTCGGCCCAGGCATCGTACAGAGTCCCGACGTTAGGATTCTGCTGGGGCCGCGTGGCGCACCAACCTATACCGCCGGACCTCGTCGTCGACATGCTCGAGGTGGGTGCGTCGACATGCCTCGTCGTGCCCCTTGATGCCGCTTATGATCGCCCGCTGCGTCGCGATAAGGCCTCGGGATTTTTAATTTACCGTGTGACAATGAATTTCAACGACCAGTCGTGTTGGGGGGGGTTTCATAGTCTTATCACGCGATGACTTTTGAGTCGACTCAAAAGTCATCTCGTGTTGGGGGGGGGTTTCATAGTCTTATCACGCTTCGCACAATGTGACGTGAGTCTTATAGCGCTTGCTGGACATTCTAGAGAGAATTCATAACCCGTCAATCGCAATAACCCGTCTTACCCCGAGACAACCCACAATAACTCACAGATGTGAACCCGTCGATTTTACATTCTCACATGTGCACGCTTGTGCTAGCCCGCTCCAAAATCCCATCCCCAATCCCGCTCACTTTCTCCTTCCCCTTCCATCCCCCCTTCCCCCTTCCCCCTTCCTTCCCCCCCGGCCCCCCCGTCCTCCCCCACCCCCCCTCCACCCCAAACCCCTGGGTGGCAGGCGAACGGGGTGTCGAAGGTGAAGCTGTTCGACGCGGACCCGAACGCGCTGACGGCGCTGGCGAACTCGGACGTGGAGGTGATGGTGATGGTGCGCAACGAGTTTCTGGAAGGCATGGCCGTGCAGCAGGAGAACGCCGACAACTGGGTTTACAACAACCTCCTCGACATCCTGCCCACGGGAGTCAAGATCACGTGAGCACGGGGGGGGAGGGGGAGGAAGTTTGGGGCAGAGTTGGGATGGGGAACGGGGGAAGCAGCGTGCTAAATCAGGGGAACGCCGACAACTGGGTCTACAACAACCTTTTCGACATCCTGCCCACCGGCGTCAAGATCACGTGAGCGCGCGGGGGGGGAGGGGGGGGGGAGGGGATGGAGAGATTGGGGGGGACTTGCGAGGATGAAAGGGGGAAGGAGGGGGGGGATGGGGTGGGGAGGGTGGGTGGTTGGGGGAAAGATGGGGCAGAATCGGAATGGGGAACGGGGGAATTAGCGTGTTGATGTTGGGGAATGCGGTGAAGTGGGTTGGTGGCAACCGCCTGGATATCCTGCCCACCGGGGCCTAGGTTGCCTGAGAGAAGGGACAGGAAGGGCGGGGACGAGCGAGGTGAGGGGAAGGGAGAGGTGGGTGAGGGGAAGATGGGGAAGTCGTGGGGTGGGTGGGGGGTGGAGGGGGGGGGAGAGGGGAAGGGGGGAAGTTGGTGAATGAGGCAGTACAGTCTAATGGTGTGCACAGCATGTCACTCCAACCATCCAGGTGTCACCAATGGCATACTAACCTGTATTCCCACCTCTCCCTACCCCCCTCCCCGCCCTCAGCCTCTCACGACGACCTTCCAAAATTCCCCACCTCCCTCCTCTCCCCCATTCTCCCCCATCTCCTATCCCCACCCGTCTTCTCCCCAACCCACGCCGTCTCCTCCCCCCCAGTGCACAGGTCCGTGCCGGTGCCCAGCGAGCCATTCCTCAAAGATAGAATTCCCACCCCGCTCCTCCCCCACCCCACCCCGTCCCCTCCCTTCCCCCCCCCTCCCTCCCCCCCCCGGTGTGCAGGTCCGTGTCAGTGGGCAACGAGCCGTTCCTCAAGTCACGGCACGACTTTGACAAGTTCCTGGTGCCAGCGGTGCAGAACATGCAGCGCGCGCTGCAGAAGGTGGATCTAGACCAGCGCATCAAGATCACCGTGTCCTTCAACACTGACATCGTCAAGGCCAAGGACGACCCCGCGCTGGGCGAGTTCCAGGACGTGTGGCTGTCGCAGATCAAAGCAATCGCCAAGGTTATCAATGAAACCGGGTCGTTCTTCTCAGTGAACATCTACCCGTTCTTCTCGTACAAGGAGACGCCGCAGATCCCCGTGGATTTTATCTGGTTCGACAACCCCGGGAAGGGGTGCCTGACGTTTGACAACAAGACCAAAGTGCAGTACTGCAACATCATGGACTCGTCGCTCGATGGCGTCATCTATGCGCTCGAACGCATCGGCTATCCCGATGTGAGAGGAAGATGAGGGATGGGGAAGGAACTGGAGGTGGAAAGGACAGGGAGGGGGTGTGGGAAAGGGAGAGGGTGCTAGGAAAAAGGTAGAGTAAGGGGGTAACAGGGTAGAGAGATAGTTACACGACACCAGCCCATCAGCTGAACCACACTCTGCTTTCTTTCTTTTCCTTTGCTTTTATCTGTTCGTTCTCTTTGTCCTGTCTCTCCCCTCCAAATGGAGGCGTAGATCGGCGAGGCACAGTGGCTGAGCGATGGCCACCCATTTTAAAGGCATCTCAATGATTCATCTCCCTCGGCCCTCCCCCCCTCCCTTCTCCCCCTCTCTCCTCCCGCCCCCCAATCTCCCCCCAGATGGAGGTGGTGATCGGCGAGGCGGGGTGGCCGAGCGACGGGCATCCCAATGCCACCACGGCCCTTGCGCAGTCGTACAACAACGGGCTGCTGCGCCACCTGCTGTCGGGCACGGGCACGCCGCGCCGCCCCAACCGCCAGTTCACCTTCTACATCTTCGACCTCTTCGACCAGGACGCCAAGAGCACCGCCCCGGGGCCGTTCGAGCGCCGCTGGGGGGTGTACGACGACTACGGGCGGGCCAAGTACCCCCTGGATCTGTCTGGTGGGAAGGGGTGGAAGCTGGCCCCCATCCCAAACGTGATCCGGCTGCGGCCGCGCTGGTGCTTGGCGAACGAGGCTCTGTACTCGGAAAAGGGTGCGGATGCTGCGGTTGTGGACGCCCAGTTCCTGTCCAAGATCTCCACGGTGTGTGGGAAGAGCGAATCGGGGGACTTTGCGGATAAGGCGGACTGCACGCCGCTGTTCATGCGGCTGTCGACGCCTGGGCTGCAGTGTGCCAGCAAGGGCGCGAGCCAGACGTTGCTAGCCAATGCGTCGTACGTGCTGAACGCGGTGTATCAGCTGTCGGGGCAGCAGGAGGCAGTGTGCACGGATGGCGGGCTGGGCGTGGTCGTGCCAGACCAGGACCCGTCGACAGGGAGTGCTGGGGGGGGGGACATGTGCACGTACGAGTTGGGGCTGGACGAGGCGGCGATGATGCAGTACACGCAGCCCAACAAGGCGTTCTCATGGAAGGTGCTGGGGTACATTGTGGCGCTCGTGCTCGTGCTGGCCAATATGCTGTGAGGGAGGAAGGGAGGGGAGGGGAGGGGAGGGAGGGAGAGTTGGTTGGTTGGCGGATGAGGGCGGGAAGGGATGGGAGTAGGTTGAGGCAGAGGAAGAGGTGAGAGATGAAGGGGGGAGTGCTTGTGAGGCAATGGCCAATGGTTTCATTGGGGGCCTTGTTTGTTACTACCGACTCATGCCTTTGGCGGCGGCTGGGAGGAGCGGGGGACTCTTGTGTGCTCTGCGAGTGGGTATTTGTAGCAAATTAGCCGATGAGACGAGACCGGACCGAGGTTGGCTAGGCTCTTCTGTGCCGGCTTCAATTCGCCCTTGTCTCCGAGCGTTCTATCCTCCGTTTTCAGATTTCAGGGCAGGATCCCTCAGTGCAGCGCTGCTGCTTGCTAGTGAATTGTTGCATTTCCAAGGTGTGTGTTTGAGAGACTGGGTTAAAGTTTTACTTCCCGGAATACCAGTGCATCCTGATTGAAGCTGTGCCATGCCATGCCAAACCAAATTGTGCGTATAACGAAATTTACTTGGTACTGGTAAGGAACGGATATTTGCGAGTCAATAGACAAACCAAAGTCAGCATCACCACAAACCCGAAGGTAGGATTTTATTCCCAAACTAACCACCCATGCCCGGACGGAGCGTGACGAGACCCAGGCGCAACGTAACCCAGGCGGCGTGGCCCTCTGAGCCAGGCACTGCACGAGGAGTGCAGATACGCTTGGCTAGCCAAGAGCAGACAACCGACAGCCGAGAGCCAAGAGCCGAGACAACAGCACCACCCGCACCACGTAGGCACGGAGAGTGGTCGCAAACGCTCCATGAACGGCCCATGACCCTAAACCCGAAACCCATATGACCCATGACCCATGACCCAAAATCACTGACAAGGCAACAGAGACCACCGGACACACCGCCGTCACAAAGTCACCGCACCAGTCATCCTGTTACCACCCCACCACCAGTCTGATCGATGCAGCAACCCATCCCCCCCGCCCCATCCGCCCCATCCACCCTGACCATCAGGCGCATCACGAGGGCAGGTCGAGCTTGAAGGCAACGCATCGAGAGTCCTCTGGCAGCTCCGGGTCGCCGTCCCCCGGGTTCATGTTGAACGTTTCCCCCAGCAGGTCCATCTGCGCGCTCGTCACCGCCAGCCGCATGTACGCCCCCCCCAGGGCGAAGAGGGAGTCGGGCGACTGAAATGTGCGCTGCATTAGGTCCTGGGGGAGGGAGGAGGGGGGAGGAGGGGGGAGGAGGGGGAGGAGGGGGAGGCGGGGGGAGGGCGAGGGGAAGAGGGGAAGAGGAGAGGGGATATAGAGAGAGCGGTGGTTGTTAGGATGAGTCAACTGCCCGAAGCGAGTAGAGTCAATGTGCAAATCAACGAGGGAGTTGGAGGACTGGAACATGCGCTGCATTAGGTCCTGGGGGAGGGGGCAGGAGGGGGCGGAAAAGGGGGGGGAGGGGGGTGGGGGGAGGAGAGAAAGGGGTGGAGTGGAGATTGAAAGCGGTGATTTTTGAGTTGTGCGGGGAGAGTGAGCCGAATGTACGCCCCTCGTGGAGTCAAATTTTGAGGCGCCTCATTTTGAGGCCATTTTTGAGGTGCCTAAAAAATGCGGAGAGAGTGAGCCGAATGTGCGCCCCTCGTGGAGTCAAGAGCGCAGGGAGAGAGAAGCACTCACTCACCCACCTACCCGAGAGCCCCCCCCCTCCCACCACTCACAGGTCCAGTCAAGTAGAGCTGCCCTCCCACGTCCCGCCGTTGCTCTTCCGGAGACACCACCTCCCCTGACCCGCGGAGGAGAAAGAAGCACTCATTCACCTACCGACAGCCGGTCGAGTTATCCACAGCTCACGACCGCCCACACTTCGCTCAAGCATCGCAGCACTCACAGGTCCGGTCAAGTAGAGCTGCCCTCCCACATCCCCCCGCTGCTCCTCCGGACACACCACCGCCCCTGACCCGCTGTTGGCCGCCATCACGCGCGCCACATACCCCCCCACGCTCGCCCGCAGCTCCGCAGAGGAGAGGCGGATGTCCCCCACTGCATCCAACGGGTTAAGCTGAAAGGTCGGGAGTTGGGACTGGAAGCCCTCGAAGAAGAACGAGCAGGCGGAGGGGGAGGGCATGCAGGAGGAAGGGGACGATGGGGATGGGGCGGAGGGGGATGGGGGAGAGGGAGGGGCGGACGAGGATGGGGAAGGAGGGGAGGAAGGTGAGGAGGCGGAGGGATAGGCAGAGGGAGGGGAGAGGGAGGGTTGGAGAGCTGGTGGGGAGGGGGATGAAGAGGAGGGGGGGATGTTGGCAGAAGGAGGGAGTGCAGGGGGGTACTGAGGAGGGTACTGGGGAGGGTACTGAGGAGCGATAGAGGAGGGAGGTGGGGTGGGTGTGAACGGGGGTTCTGTGATTGGTGGTGAAATCGGTGGGGGAGGTAGTCCAGGGGGGGAAGGGGCAGGGGCGCTGGGGGGAGGGGCAGGAGCGCTGGAGGAAGGGGCAGGGGCACCGGGGGAGGTGGATGGCCCGAGAATGGTGCCAGGGGGAGAGGGAGGCGAGGGGGGGCTAGGGGGAAAAGGGGAGGAGGGGGAATCTGCGGGGTTTGGTGGAGATTGGGGAATTTCGGGGGCCTCTGGGGAGAGCGCAGTTGGGGGAGAAAGGGGAGAGGGGGGAGAGGCGGTCGAGGGGGGTGATGGGGGAGAAGGGGAAGCGGGGGAAGAGGGGGAAGAGGGGAAGCGGGGGAAGAGGGGGAAGAGGGGGAAGAGGGCGAAGAGGGGAAGCGGGGGAAGAGGGGGAAGAGGGGGAAGAGGGGGAACTGGGACTTGTGGCAAAGGGTGGTGGTGCGGAAATGGGGGAGCAGCGGGAGAGGGGGGAAAGGGAGAAGGGGCGGAGGCTCCAGGGGGGAGAAGAGGGGAAGGGGGAGAGGAGGGAAGGGGAGAGAGGAGGGGGAAGGAGCAATGGAGGGGTAGGTCGGAGGGGAATCAGATGGGGTTGGAGTGAGAGAGGGTGACGGGGAGAAGGGCGAGGGGGGCGGCTGAGGGGCGAGGGGAGGTGCGGGGGCACTGGAGGGAGGAGAGGGAGGAGAGGACCCAGGAGGGGACGAGCCCGGGGGGGAAGTGCCGTGCCCGGGGGGGGAGGTGAGGTGCCCAGAGGGGGGGGGGATGTTGGAGGAGGGGCGTTGGGACGAGACGAGGAGGGGGGCGGTGGGAACAGTGGTGTTGGTAGCGGGGACGGGAGGAGCGTTGGTAGTGGGGGAGGGGGGAGGGGAGGGAGGATTGTTGGTAATGGGGGACAGGGGAGGGGAGGGAGGAGCGTTGGTAGTGGGGGAGGGGGGAGGGGAGGGAGGATTGTTGGTAATGGGGACAGGGGAGGGGAGGGAGGAGCGTTGGTAGTGGGGGAGGGGGGAGGGGAGGGAGGATTGTTGGTAATGGGGGACAGGGGAGGGGAGGGAGGAGCGTTGGTAGCGGGGGAAGGAGGACCGTTGGTAATGGGAGGAGGAGGAGCGTTGGTAGTGGGGGAAGGAGGGGGCTTAGGGGAAGGAGGAGCAGGAGGAGGGAGCGAGTCAACGATGTCAGTGAAACCAGTGGTGCCTGATGGGGGAAGGGGAAGGGGAAAGGGAGGGTTGGGGGGGTTTGGGGGGGTTTGGGGGGGAACGAGGGAGTAAGGGACATATGAGGGAGAAGAGGACCATTTGAAGCAGACAGTGAGAGCGAGAGAGGGGTGAGAGGGGGCGTGAGGAGCCAGCCAGCACCAGACCCACATATTCCTCTCTTACCAACCTACCCTGTTCCACTCTTACCAACCTACCCTGTTCCCTCGTTTCCTCTCCCTCCTCTCCTGCTCCCCTAATCCCCCCCTCCGCCTCCCAGTTGGCGTCGAGCCATCAGAGTGTGCTGGCCTCGCTGTCTCTATAGATGAGGCGCCTCAACAATAGACTTCTAAACTCCCACCTGTCCCCTGCCTCCTCGCCTGCTCCCCTAATCCCTCCCTCCGCCTCACAGTTGGTATCGAGCCAGGAGATCTTGTTGTCCTCGTTGTCGAAAACCATGTAGCGGTTGGTGAGCCATGAGTCTGAGAGGGAGTGATGGGTGGGTGAGGGAGGATGGCGGGGAGGAAGAGCAGAATGAGAGAGATAGAGAGAGAGAGAGCAAGGGAGATGAGAGGGGAGGCAACAACATGGTTGCACGTTGTCAAACACCATGTAGCGGTTGGTGAGCCGCGCGTCTGAGGGGGACTGATGGGTGGAGGATGCAGGATGGATGCAGGATGGATGCAGGATGGATGCAGGATGGATGCAGGATGGATGCAGGATGGATGCAGGATGGATGCAGGATGGATGCAGGATGGATGCAGGATGGATGCAGGATGGATGCAGGATGGATGCAGGATGGATGCAGGATGGATGCAGGATGGATGCAGGATGGATGCAGGATGGATGCAGGATGGATGCAGGATGGACGCAGGATGGACGCAGGATGGCTGGCAGATGGAGCAGGATGGAAAGGATGCAGGATGGATGCAGGATGATGCAAGGATGGATGCAGGATGGATGCAGGATGGATGCAGGATGGATGCAGATGGATGCAGGATGGGCAGGATGGAGCAGGATGGATGAGGATGGATGCAGGATGATGCAGGGGATGGGGATGCAGGATGGACAGGATGGATGCAGGATGGATGCAGGATGGAGCGGATGGATGCAGGATGGATGCAGGATGGATGCAGGATGGACGCAGGATGGATGCAGGATGGAGCAGGATGGATGCAGGATGGATGCAGGATGGAGGGGATGGATGCAGGATGGATGCAGGATGGATGCAGGATGGATGCAGGATGGATGCAGGATGGATGCAGGATGGATGCAGGATGGGATGGATGCAGGAGGATGCAGGATGGATGCAGGATGGATGCAGGATGGATGCAGGAGGATGCAGGATGCGATGGCAGGATGGAGCAGGATGGACGCAGGATGGATGCAGGATGGATGCAGGATGGATGCAGGATGGATGCAGGATGGATGCCAGGATGGATGCAGGATGGACGCAGGATGGATGCAGGATGGATGCAGAATGGATGCAGGATGGATGCAGGATGGATGCAGGATGGATGCAGGATGGATGCAGGATGGATGCAGGATGCAGGATGGACGCAGATGGATGCAGAGGACGCAGGATGGATGCAGGATGGATGCAGGATGGACGCAGGATGGATGCAGGATGGATGCAGGATGGATGCAGTTGGATGCAGGATGGATGCAGGATATGCAGGATGGACGCAGGATGGACGCAGGATGGATGCAGGATGGATGCAGGATGGATGCAGGATGGATGCAGGATGATGCAGGAATGGATGCAGGATGGACGCAGATGGATGCAGGATGGATGCAGGATGGATGCAGGATGGATGCAGGATGGATGCAGGATGATGCAGGATGGATGCAGGATGATTCAGGATGGATGCAGATGGATGCAGGATGGATGCAGGATGGATGCAGGATGGATGCAGGATGGACGCAGGATGGATGCAGGATGGATGCAGGATGGATGCAGGATGGAGCAGGATGGACGCAGGATGGATGCAGGATGGATGCAGGATGGATGCAGGATGGATGCAGGATGGATGCAGGATGGATGCAGGATGGATGCAGATGGATGCAGGATGGACGCAGGATGGATGCAGGATGGATGCAGGATGGATGCAGATGGACGCAGGATGAGCAGATGGATGCAGGATGGATGCAGGATGGACGCAGGATGGATGCAGGATGGAGCAGGATGGATGCAGGATGGATGCAGGATGGATGCAGGATGGATGCAGGATGATGTAGGATGATGCAGGATGGATGCAGGATGGATGCAGGATGATGCAGGATGGATGCAGGATGGATGCAGGATGGATGCAGGATGGATGCAGGATGGACGCAGGATGGATGCAGGATGGACGCAGGATGGATGCAGGATGGATGCAGGATGGACGCAGGAATGGATGCAGGATGGATGCAGGATGGATGCAGGAGATGCAGGATGGATGCAGGATGGATGCAGGATGGATGCAGGATGGATGCAGGATGGATGCAGGATGGATGCAGGATGGACGCAGGATGGACGCAGGATGGATGCAGGATGGATGCAGGATGGATGCAGGATGGATGCAGGATGGATGCAGGATGGATGCAGGATGGATGCAGGATGGATGCAGGATGGATGGAGGATGGATGCAGGATGGATGCAGGATGGATGCAGGATGGATGCAGGATGGATGCAGGATGGATGCAGGATGGATCCAGGATGGGCAGGATGGATGCAGGATGGATGCAGGATGGATGAGCAGGATGGATGCAGGATGGATGCAGGATGGACGCACGGATGGATGCAGGATGGACGCAGGATGGATGCAGGATGGATGCAGGATGGACGCAGGATGGATGCAGGATGGATGGCAGGATGGACGCAGGATGGATGCAGGATGATGCAGGATGGATGCAGGATGGATGCAGGATGGATGCAGGATGGATGCAGCATGGATGCAGGATGGATGCAGGATGGATGCAGGATGGATGCAGGATGGATGCAGGATGGATGCAGGATGGATGCAGGATGGACGCAGGATGGATGCAGGATGGATGCAGGATGGATGCAGGATGGACGCAGGATGGATGCAGGATGGATGCAGGATGGATGCAGGATGGACGCAGGATGGATGCAGGATGGATGCAGGATGGATGCAGGATGGATGCAGGATGGATGCAGGATGGATGCAGGATGGATGTAGGATGGATGCAGGATGGATGCAGGATGGATGCAGGATGGATGCAGGATGGATGCAGGATGGATGCAGGATGGATGCAGGATGGATGCAGGATGGACGCAGGATGGATGCAGGATGGACGCAGGATGGATGCAGGATGGATGCAGGATGGACGCAGGATGGATGCAGGATGGATGCAGGATGGATGCAGGATGGATGCAGGATGGATGCAGGATGGATGCAGGATGGACGCAGGATGGATGCAGGATGGACGCAGGATGGATGCAGGATGGATGCAGGATGGATGCAGGATGGATGCAGGATGGATGCAGGATGGATGCAGGATGGATGCAGGATGGATGCAGGATGGACGCAGGATGGATGCAGGATGGATGCAGGATGGATGCAGGATGGATGCAGGATGGATGCAGGATGGATGCAGGATGGAAGCAGGATGGACGCAGGATGGATGCAGGATGGATGCAGGATGGATGCAGGATGGATGCAGGATGGATGCAGGATGGATGCAGGATGGACGCAGGATGGATGCAGGATGATGCAGATGGATGCAGGATGGATGCAGGATGGATGCAGGATGGACGCAGGATGGATGCAGGATGGATGCAGGATGGATGCAGGATGGAAGCAGGATGGATGCAGGATGGATGCAGGATGGATGCAGGATGGACGCAGGATGGATGCAGGATGGATGCAGGATGGATGCAGGATGGATGGAGGATGGATGCAGGATGGATGCAGGATGGATGCAGGATGGATGCAGGATGGATGCAGGATGGATGCAGGATGGATGCAGGATGGATGCAGGATGGATGCAGGATGGATGCAGGATGGATGCAGGATGGATGCAGGATGGATGCAGGATGGACGCAGGATGGATGCAGGATGGACGCAGGATGGATGCAGGATGGATGCAGGATGGACGCAGGATGGATGCAGGATGGATGCAGGATGGACGCAGGATGGATGCAGGATGGATGCAGGATGGATGCAGGATGAGATGCAGGATGGATGCAGGATGGATGCAGCATGGATGCAGGATGGATGCAGGATGGATGCAGGATGGACGCAGGATGGATGCAGGATGGACGCAGGATGGATGCAGGATGGATGCAGGATGGACGCAGGATGGATGCAGGATGGATGCAGGATGGATGCAGGTTGGATGCAGGATGGATGCAGGATGGATGCAGGATGGACGCAGGATGGATACAGGATGGATGCAGGATGAATGCAGGATGGATGCAGGATGGATGCAGGATGGATGCAGGATGGATGCAGGATGGATGCAGGATGGACGCAGGATGGATGCAGGATGGATGCAGGATGGATGCAGGATGGATGCAGGATGGATGCAGGATGGACGCAGGATGGATGCAGGATGGATGCAGGATGGATGCAGGATGGAAGCAGGATGGATGCAGGATGGATGCAGGATGGATGCAGGATGGACGCAGGATGGATGCAGGATGGATGCAGGATGGATGCAGGATGGACGCAGGATGGATGCAGGATGGACGCAGGATGGATGCAGGATGGATGCAGGATGGACGCAGGATGGATGCAGGATGGATGCAGGATGGATGCAGGATGGATGCAGGATGGATGCAGGATGGATGCAGGATGGACGCAGGATGGATGCAGGATGGACGCAGGATGGATGCAGGATGGATGCAGGGGATGCAGGATGGATGCAGGATGGATGCAGGATGGATGCAGGATGGATGCAGGATGGATGCAGGATGGACGCAGGATGATGCAGGATGGATGCAGGATGGATGCAGGATGGATGCAGGATGGATGCAGGATGGATGCAGGATGGATGCAGGATGGACGCAGGATGGATGCAGGATGGATGCAGGATGGATGCAGGATGGAGCAGGATGGATGCAGGATGGATGCAGGATGGACGCAGGATGGATGCAGGATGGATGCAGGATGGATGCAGGATGGATGCAGGATGGATGCAGGATGGACGCAGGATGGATGCAGGATGGATGCAGGATGGATGCAGGATGGAAGCAGGATGGATGCAGGATGGATGCAGGATGGATGCAGGATGGACGCAGGATGGATGCAGGATGGATGCAGGATGGATGCAGGATGGATGGAGGATGGATGCAGGATGGATGCAGGATGGATGCAGGATGGTGCAGGATGGATGCAGGATGGATGCAGGATGGATGCAGGATGGATGCAGGATGGATGCAGGATGGATGCAGGATGGATGCAGATGGATGCAGGATGGATGCAGGATGGACGCAGGATGGATGCAGGATGGACGCAGGATGGATGCAGGATGGATGCAGGATGGACGCAGGATGGATGCAGGATGGATGCAGGATGGACGCAGGATGGATGCAGGATGGATGCAGGATGGATGCAGGATGGATGCAGGATGGATGCAGGATGGATGCAGCATGGATGCAGGATGGATGCAGGATGGATGCAGGATGGACGCAGGATGGATGCAGGATGGACGCAGGATGGATGCAGGATGGATGCAGGATGGACGCAGGATGGATGCAGGATGGATGCAGGATGGATGCAGGTTGGATGCAGGATGGATGCAGGATGGATGCAGGATGGACGCAGGATGGATACAGGATGGATGCAGGATGAATGCAGGATGGATGCAGGATGGATGCAGGATGGATGCAGGATGGATGCAGGATGGATGCAGGATGGACGCAGGATGGATGCAGGATGGATGCAGGATGGATGCAGGATGGATGCAGGATGGATGCAGGATGGACGCAGGATGGATGCAGGATGGATGCAGGATGGATGCAGGATGGAAGCAGGATGGATGCAGGATGGATGCAGGATGGATGCAGGATGGACGCAGGATGGATGCAGGATGGATGCAGGATGGATGCAGGATGGATGCAGGATGGATGCAGGATGGATGCAGGATGGATGTAGGATGGATGCAGGATGGATGCAGGATGGATGCAGGATGGATGCAGGATGGATGCAGGATGGACGCAGGATGGACGCAGGATGGATGCAGGATGGATGCAGGATGGATGCAGGATGGATGCAGGATGGATGCAGGATGGATGCAGGATGGATGCAGGATGGACGCAGGATGGATGCAGGATGGATGCAGGATGGATGCAGGATGGATGCAGGATGGATGCAGGATGGATGCAGGTTGGATGCAGGATGGATGCAAGATGGATGCAGGATGGACGCAGGATGGATGCAGGATGGATGCAGGATGGATGCGGATGGATGCAGGATGGATGCAGGATGGATGCAGATGGACGCAGGATGGATGCAGGATGGATGCAGGATGGATGCTGGATGGATGCAGGATGGATGCAGGATGGATGCAGGATGGATGCAGGATGGATGCAGGATGGATGCAGGATGGATGGAGGATGGATGCAGGATGGATGCAGGATGGATGCAGGATGGATGCAGGATGGATGCAGGATGGATGCAGGATGGATGCAGGATGGATGCAGGATGGATGCAGGATGGATGCAGGATGGATGTAGGATGGATGCAGGATGGATGCAGGATGGATGCAGGATGGATGCAGGATGGATGCAGGATGGACGCAGGATGGATGCAGGATGGACGCAGGATGGATGCAGGATGGATGCAGGATGGACGCAGGATGGATGCAGGATGGATGCAGGATGGACGCAGGATGGATGCAGGATGGATGCAGGATGGATGCGATGGATGCAGGATGGATGCAGGATGGATGCAGGATGGATGCAGGATGGATGCAGGATGGATGCAGGATGGACGCAGGATGGATGCAGGATGGACGCAGGATGGATGCAGGATGGATGCAGGATGGATGCAGGATGGATGCAGGATGGATGCAGGATGGATGCAGGATGGATGCAGGATGGATGCAGGATGGATGCAGGATGGATGCAGGATGGATGCAGGATGGATGCAGGATGGATGCAGGATGGATGCAGGATGGATGCAGGATGGATGCAGGATGGACGCAGGATGGATGCAGGATGGATGCAGGATGGATGCAGGATGGATGCAGGATGGATGCAGGATGGATGCAGGATGGATGCAGGATGGATGCAGGATGGATGCAGGATGGATGGAGGATGGATGCAGGATGGATGCAGGATGGATGCAGGATGGATGCAGGATGGATGCAGGATGGATGCAGGATGGATGCAGGATGGATGCAGGATGGATGCAGGATGGATGCAGGATGGATGCAGGATGGACGCAGGATGGATGCAGGATGGATGCAGGATGGATGCAGGATGGATGCAGGATGGATGCAGGATGGATGGAGGATGGATGCAGGATGGATGCAGGATGGATGCAGGATGGATGCAGGATGGATGCAGGATGGATGCAGGATGGATGCAGGATGGATGCAGGATGGATGCAGGATGGATGCAGGATGGATGCAGGATGGATGCAGGATGGACGCAGGATGGATGCAGGATGGATGCAGGATGGATGCAGGATGGATGCAGGATGGACGCAGGATGGATGCAGGATGGATGCAGGATGGATGCAGGATGGATGCAGGATGGATGCAGGATGGATGCAGGATGGATGCAGGATGGATGCAGGATGGATGCAGGATGGATGCAGGATGGATGCAGGATGGACGCAGGATGGATGCAGGATGGACGCAGGATGGATGCAGGATGGATGCAGGATGGACGCAGGATGGATGCAGGATGGATGCAGGATGGATGCAGGATGGATGCAGGATGGATGCAGGATGGATGCAGGATGGATGCAGGATGGATGCAGGATGGATGCAGGATGGATGCAGGATGGATGCAGGATGGATGCAGGATGGACGCAGGATGGATGCAGGATGGATGCAGGATGGATGCAGGATGGATGCAGGATGGATGCAGGATGGATGCAGGATGGATGCAGGATGGATGCAGGATGGATGCAGGATGGATGGAGGATGGATGCAGGATGGATGCAGGATGGATGCAAGATGGATGCAGGATGGATGCAGGATGGATGCAGGATGGATGCAGGATGGATGCAGGATGGACGCAGGATGGATGCAGGATGGATGCAGGATGGATGCAGGATGGATGCAGGATGGACGCAGGATGGATGCAGGATGGATGCAGGATGGATGCAGGATGGATGCAGGATGGATGCAGGATGGATGCAGGATGGATGCAGGATGGATGCAGGATGGATGCAGGATGGATGCAGGATGGATGCAGGATGGATGCAGGATGGACGCAGGATGGATGCAGGATGGACGCAGGATGGATGCAGGATGGATGCAGGATGGACGCAGGATGGATGCAGGATGGATGCAGGATGGATGCAGGTTGAATGCAGGATGGATGCAGGATGGATGCAGGATGGATGCAGGATGGACGCAGGATGGATACAGGATGGATGCAGGATGGATGCAGGATGGATGCAGGATGGATGCAGGATGGATGCAGGATGGATGCAGGATGGATGCAGGATGGATGCAGGATGGATGCAGGATGGACGCAGGATGGATGCAGGATGGGTGCAGGATGGATGCAGGATGGATGCAGGATGGATGCAGGATGGGATGCAGGATGGATGCAGGATGGATGCAGGATGAGCAGGATGGATGCAGGATGGATGCAGGATGGATGCAGGATGGAATGCAGGATGGATGCAGGATGGATGCAGGATGGATGCAGATGGACGCAGGATGGATGCAGGATGGACGCAGGATGGATGCAGGATGGATGCAGGATGGACGCAGGATGGATGCAGGATGGATGCAGGATGGATGCAGGATGGATGCAGGATGGATGCAGGATGGATGCAGGATGGATCGGATGGATGCAGGATGGATGCAGGATGGATGCAGGAGATGCAGGATGATGCAGGATGGATGCCAGGATGGACGCAGGATGGATGCAGGATGGACGCAGGATGGATGCCAGGATGGATGCAGGATGGACGCAGGATGGATGCAGGATGGATGCAGGATGGATGCAGGTTGGATGCAGGATGGATGCAGGATGGATGCAGGATGGATGCAGGATGGACGCAGGATGGATACAGGATGGATGCAGGATGGATGCAGGATGGATGGAGGATGGATGCAGGATGGATGCAGGATGGATGCAGGATGGATGCAGGATGGATGCAGGATGGATGCAGGATGGACGCAGGATGGATGCAGGATGGATGCAGGATGGATGCAGGATGGATGCAGGATGGATGCAGGATGGATGCAGGATGGATGCAGGATGGATGCAGGATGGATGGAGGATGGATGCAGGATGGATGCAGGATGGATGGAGGATGGATGGAGGATGGATGCACGATGCAGGGGAGGAAAAGAGAGGGAGGGAGAGCAGGGGGTGGCGGCGATTGCGAGCAACAACATGGCAGCTCGCGCGGAGTCTATTTTTGAGGCGCCTAAAAAATAGACTCCTCACGCATGAATTGCACGCAACAACATGGCTGTTCGCGCATACTTGGTGGGGTAGCACCATATAGCGGTTGATGAGCCGCAAGTGTGTGCAGCCGGTAAGCGGGTGAGAAAGAGGGATGTCCTGAAGCGCCTCACTCACACCACGTACAACACCAAGGGGAGCTGTGTGTTGTGCGCAGTGTGCTGTGCGTTGCCTGTTCTTAACAACTGGGAGGGAGGCTAATTTTCTCGCGATCGGATTCATCTAACCACATGAACAGCTTTGCTCTGTCTTGAGGATGACTCTGTCTTGGGGATCAAAGAAATGCTCTGTCCTCCGTCTTGGGAGTGGTTATGAGGAGCACCCAGAGTGTGGGTCTGGGTCCCAGACAGACCTGGTATTATTGTGTGCTGATTGCTGTTAGGGGAGGGGGTTATGGCGAAACAGATGACGTCAGCACTGATCTGAGGGAGGGGAGAGGGGTGAGGGAGAGGAAGAGAGGCGAGAAGTAAGAGAGAAAAGTAACTTACAGAGACCGTGAGGAAAGAAGAAACTCACGCACCAGGGCACAGAGGGAAGGAAGCAAGATGCAAGAACGGAAGAACACAGAAAGCAAGAGAGCGAAAATGCAGAAAGCTCGTGAGCAAGAAAGCACGGTGCCGGGAGCAGGAGGTTTAGGAGGCTGACTAAGTAGAGGTAGGCCGGTGGCTGCACGGTGAAGATAGCACCATCCGCCAGAATGAGAGAGAGCGCCGGGAACTGAGCCATGAAGGCAGACTCCGATGGCCTGAGGGCCAGGGGGTTGGGGAAAGGGGGAGAGAAGGGAGGAGGGAGGAGGGGATGAGAGGAGGGAAGGAGAGAAAAAGGGAAGAGAGGGGCCGGGTGAACACAGGGGGCGGAAGAAGGGAGACGAGGATATAGTCTCAACCAAGTGCAGGAGAAAGAAGAAAAAGCACGGGAAGGGGAAGGGGGAGGGGGAGGTGGAGGGGAGGCAGCAAAAAGGGGCAAAAGGGGCAAAAGGGGAAAGGGGAAAGGGGGAAAGGGGGAAAGGGGGAAAGGGGAAAAGGGGAAAAGGGAAAAGGGGGAAAGGGGGAAAGGGGGAAAGGGGGAAAGGGGAAAAGGGGAAAAGGGGAAAAGGGGGAAAGGGGGAAAGGGGGAAAGGGGAAAAGGGGAAAAGGGGAAAAGGGGAAAAGGGGAAAAGGGGAAAAGGGGAAAAGGGGAAAAGGGGAAAAGGGGAAAAGGGGAAAAGGGGAAAAGGGGAAAAGGGGAAAGGGGAAAAGGGGGAAAGGGGAAAAGGGGGAAAGGGGAAAAGGGGGCAGGGAGGGCAAAGCAGGGGTGGGTGGGTAGGGGGTGATAAAGAGAGAGAGGGAGGGTGCGTAACTGAGCGTAAGCGGAGGCGTTGAGGCAGTCGACGCCCTGCTGGTCGCTGAGAGCATAGTCGTACTTCAACTGAGGTAGCGCCACCAGGTACTGCCACATGCGCGAGGGGGGGGGGGAGGGAGGAGGGGGGGGAGTAGGGGAGGGAGCAAGGCTGGTTATGGGCAAGAGGCTAGGCGTGCTTGAGCTAAGGTGCAAAGTGATTGAAGAACTTCTGGATCGAGCCAGTGATGAAGGCATTGTAGGGTGAGTACTTGAACAAAACCTGCGCATCAAACAACCACCTAATGGACTATCCAGGAGCAAGCGCCGTCTGCTACGTTTGTTTTCACCTGAGAAGCCACGGCCCGGTATGCTTTCTTCGCCTGAGTGGCCACAGCCCGGTCCAATGTTTTCACCTTTGTGGCCACGGCCCTCTGTTGTTTCAACTGAGTATTCACACCCTGGTCTGTTATATTCACCTGAGTGGCCATGGCCCCGTTTGTTGTTTTCATCTGAAAAACTGCGCCCTGGCATTTCACCTGAGGAACCGCGCCCTGGTCTGTTGTTTTCACCTGAGTGGCCACTGCCCCGTCTGTTGTATTCACCTGAGTGGCCATGGCCTGGTAGGCCTGGGTGGGCAGCACAGTGAGCGAGGCAGAGGAGTCGAGGATGGTGCCCCCGTTGCCAGACTCGTTCAGGGGAGGAAAGGTGGCGGGCGGCAGGGGGAGAGTGGCGTTGCCCACTGCCATCCCAGTCACGTTGATGAAATAGAAGGGCCTGAGACGGGGGGAAGGACGGGGGGGAAGGACGGGGGGGAAGGACGGGGGGGAAGGACGGGGGGGGAGGACGGGGGGGAAGGACGGGGGGGAAGGACGGGGGGAAGGACGGGGGGGAAGGACGGGGGGGAAGAGGGAGGGAAGAAGATGGAGGGGGAAAGAGGGACGGGGGAAAAGCGAGAGGGGAAGAGAAGAAGAGTGGGGAAGGTCATTGGGTCCATTGATGGATGATTAGCTTTCATTAGACTAAGTCAGACGCTGACCTTGCTGCTGCCCTACCCGTTTTCTCGGTGGGGATTGAAGGGGCCCATTGACGGATGATGCCCTGCAAGCAAACAACCGCCGCTCGCTAATCTTCATATGCCCTCACAGGCTCAACCTCTCAACCTCTCACACTCACCCCCTCACTTATCCATTTCGTCCCATTCCTCTTCAAACTATCATCCTTATTCTCACTCTCACACCTCCTCCCGTGCCCCCTGCCCGCCTCGCGATCCCTCCCTCCCACCACCTCACTCTAGCTCACCGGTGAATACGCACTCTCACTCGCCGTCGACTGCGCAGTGCGCGCCAGCAGGTTTGATTTAAGACCCCTCAAAATCCTCGTACCCTCTTGCCTCGCACTTCCTCCCTCCCTCCCTTCCTCCCACCCACCCACTCACTCTAGCTCACTGGACACAATAGCCGTCGACTGCGCGCCAGCAGGCACCCCCCTAACACCCATCAGCAGCTTCCCAGCCGCTCCCCCTACCGCTCCCCCTGCCACTCCCCCTGCCACTCCCCTGCCACTCCCCTGCCACTCCCCCTGCCACTCCCCCTGCCGCTCCCCCTGCCGCCCCCCTGCCCCTGCCCCCTGCGCCGCAGCTCTGGCCCCCGCGTCCCCCTCCATGCAGAGAGAGAAGGCGTTGCTCATGAGGCCCTGCGCCGCCAGTTGTGAGAGAGGTGACAGCGCCCCCCGCCCCATGCCAAACACGCCCTCGGGTGCCACGCTCGTGCCCGCCAGAAAGCCCGTCTGGTACCGCCCACACCTGGTGCCGTGGGGTGGGGTGGGGTGGGATGGGATGGGGTGTGGTGGGGTACGGTGGGGTATGTTTGGGTGTGCTGAAAATACGGGCTTGCTTTGCTTTGGTTAGGTAAGTGAATCAGCATAGTTGGTATAACCAAAATGGATGAAGAAGGGTAAGGGTGAATCAGAGCATTAGACAGCAGCACATGACAGCTTGAGAAGCTCGGAGCGGCAATCCCAGTCATTCTGCCAATCCCAGTCCCAACCATTCTCTCGTCCCACTACCATCACCACCACCGCCACCACCGCCGTCGCCGTCGCCGTCGTCGCCGCCGCCGCCGCCGCCGCCGCCGCTGCCACCACCACCACCACCACCACCACTGCACCCAATCCCTCTCCCAACCCCTCCCTCTCTCCCTCCCCACTCCCCCTCCCCTGTTCCCAGCACCTCACCCGAAGGTCACATTGGCAGCAGCGCGGCTACCAACCGCCACAGCAGCATGCAGCGCATCCCGCACAAGGTTCCCCACGCTGCCGCCCTCGGGCCCCGTGTACGTGGCGGCGTACTGGCACAGGGGGTCGGGCGCTGGCAGCGCTGAGGACACGAGGCAGCCCACGGAGGCAGTCTTGTCGGCCGCAGCAAAGGACGAGCAGGAGGGCGAGCGGCAGAAGATGGACTGCGAGGAGCTGGAGAGAGTCGGGTCGTAGGGCGGGCTCACCGGCTGGCGTTAGGGGGGGGGGGGGTTTAGGGGGCGGAGAGAGGGGAGGAGAGGGGTTTGGGGAGTGGGCAGGGAAGGGGAGGGCGGGGAGGAAGGCAGGGTGGGGAAAATGGGGAAACGGTGAGTAGCGGGAGGACGGTATCGAATGGGGGGAGGCCAACGGCTCTTGTGGGAACAAGACAAAGTGTATGATCATGCAGTCAGAGTCATGCTGAGTGCTGCTAGTGAGCGAGATAGTGAGTGAGCGAGCAAGTGAGTGTGTGTGCATGAGCGAGTGAGTGAGTGAGTGAGTGAGCGAGCGAGTGAGCGAGTGAGTGAGTGAGCGAGTGATTGAGCGAGCGAGTGAGTGAGCGAGTGAGTGGATGCTTCTCTTCTCACGACGGCAGCGACGGAGCTGGCGTTGGCGCACTGGATGCAGTTGCAGGGCAGCCAGAAGAGGTCCGTGGCCGTGTCCACCAGCGCCGTGAACCGTTGCTTGCTGGACCCCACCTCCACCTCTGTCAGAAACGGACTGCGGACGCCACAAAGAGGGGGGGAAGGGGCGGGTAGGGGGAGTTGGAATGGACGGGTGGGTTTTAGAGCCGCCTCAAGAAGTGCTGCTTGCTCGACCCCAAAAGCGCCTCCGATAGAAACGGACTGCAGACGTCACAGGGGGGGATTCAGATGGGTTGGGGGGGGTGGGGTGGGGTGGGGTGGGCAAGGGTTGGGGGGGGGTGAGGTGGGGTGGGGGGGGTGAGGTGGTGTGAGGTGGGGTGAGGTGGGGTGAGGTGGGGTGGGCTAGGGTTGGCGGGGGGAGGAGACATGGGAAGGAGGAGGGACTGAAGAAGGGTGCGGGGAGGGGGAGATTGGGTGGTGGTGGTGGTGTGCGTGTGCATGTGTGTATCTGTGTGTTTGTGTGTTTGCGTGTTTGTGTGTATGTGTGTGTGTGTGTGTGTGTGTGTGTGTGTGTGTGTGTGTGTGTGTGTGTTGGACTGGAGTGGGAGAGCAGCGATGGGAGATGAGAGAGTGCGAGAGCAGGTGGGCTAGAGAATGTGAGTGAACGGCTTTAGAAATGCTGCTTGCTGGGATGTGGCTGGTTATGAGGCGCCTCAAAACTAGACCCTTATCAACCACATGGCGTCAGAAATGCTGCTTGCTGGGATGTGGCCAATGCAGACATGCATGCGTGTGTATGCATGATATACAATGTAATCATCCAGAAAAAAAAAAAGAGCGCATACGCGTGTGTGTGTGTGTGTGTGCTTTCTCCAGCACTGTCTCTTGCCGTGGCATTCCATCACTTACAAAATTGTCACACCATACCATACCATGCTATACCATAATACCATGCCATGTGATCCCCTACCTCCCGTGCACGGACAGCGCCTGCAAGGTGGCATTGAATCGTTGAGGGCGCGGGGACGCAGCCGGGGCACTCGCTGCTGCTGCTGCCCCTGCTGTTGCTGCTGCGGTTGTGCTTGGTGGTGGTAGCGGAAGGGAGGAGGGGGAAGACGAGGAGAGCAGGGCGAAGGGAGAGGTGGAGGCGCGAGTAGAGAAGGGGGAGGTGGCGAGCTGCAGTGGGGAGGTGGGGAGGAGGAGTGGGGGAGAGGGGGCGATAGGGGATCAGGAGGTGTAGGGTCGAGAAGGAATTGAATAGCCACAAGAATTCTCGTGACTCAAGAATTGAAAGGCAGGCAGCGCACAGATGGGGATCATGAGTCGCCATGAGTCGCCATGAGTCGCCATGAGTCGCCATGAGTCGCCATGAGTCGCCATGAGTCGCCATGAGTCGCCATGAGTCGCCATGAGTCGCCATGAGTTGCCATGCTGCATGCAGTGCGGCACATAGGTGACTCTTGAGTCGCCTCATGAGTCCAGCCAGTGCTACTACGGCTACTGTCACATGGAACACCATAAGTTGGCTGGCACGCAGCACATGCTCACCTGTGGCCGTCCCGCCGCATTGTCAAAGTAGTTGAGGGTGTCTTCCATGCCCGCGTTCGCCACTCCCCTGCGATTCTGCTTCACGTCCCGCAGAGACTCCTCCCGAGGGAACTGCACTCCAAGGGGGGGGGGGGGCGGGGAAAGGAGAAAGGGGAGGGGCGGAGGAAGGTGAGGAGAGGAGGGGCACATGCGGACACTAACAGCAGACACACAATATTCTGAGGGACGAAGACATGCTAGTTCACCCACACGCTCCATAGCCATACCCTTCATAGCCATAACCTTCATAGCCATACCCTTCATAGCCATACCCTTCATAGCCATACCCTTTTTACCCAAAGCCTCCATACCTGTACCCTCTATGCCAATAGTCAACTACCCACCCTGCCTGCCACCCTCTTCCCCACCCTGGGCTCACCTTTTTCCTCCTCCTGCTCCACCCGGACACAGCCCACGTTGCCCTCCACGCCTCACTGCCCGCTGCCTGCTGCTGGGAGGGGAAGAGCGGGGTTGGGGAATGGGGGGTTGGGAGGGAGGGAGGGAGGGAGGGAGGGAGGGAGGGAGGGAGGGAGGGAGGGAGGGAAGGAAAGGAGGAGAGATAAATGGAGAGGGGAGGGGTAGAGTTAACGTTATGTGCACGCGTGCACACAAAGCTATCGAGCAATGTGGAAATCTGAATTGTCAGCCGCGAGCACGCCCTGCCGTCACTCCCCACCCCACCCCATCCCACCCCAGCAGACCAGACCACACCACACCCCACCACACCACATTCCACCTTTGCACGCCAACCCACCGAGAGCTGTCTACTAGAAGCAGCGGAGGCAAGGAGTGGACCAAACCACGCAGCAGGAGCACCGCTGCTGGCACGGGCAGTAGCACCACAGTCACCACCACCAGCACCAGCAGCACCAGCAGGAGCACCAGCAGAAGCAGAGGTGTGGCGTGGTGATACAACTGCGGGCAGGTGAGGGCCGTTAGTCGCGGTGCTAGAGAGTATGAGACACACGAGAGGCAGCACCAGCGTGCTGCGTAGTAGCATCAGTTGCTGCTGCCGTGGCCCCTGGAACAAGCACGCCCCTGGAACCTGCCTCCGTCTCCGACGCTCCCATCGCTTTCCGTGCCAAAACTGCTGCTTCTCCTGTTTCTGCTGCTGCTGCTGCTTCTGCTGCTGCTCTGCCGGCTCCCCTTCCCATAGACGCCGCGAGGCGACAATGCGTCGACCATCGGTACTGCTAGTCGTAGTGTCAGTGCTCCGGCGAGCGGGGCTATCGCTCTCGCTGCTGCTTCTGCTGCCTCTACTGCTATTGCTACTGGCTACTTCGAGTCCATTCGCACGCATATCGGGCGCCGCAATAAGCGCTCGTCAAATTAGCTCGATGCGAGCACGGCGCCGCGAGTTCCGACGCCGCAGACACGAAGCCGCGTCACGCGTGGCGCGCCGTGGCACCAGCTGTGCCGTTGCCAGCGATCCCGGTTCGTCTACTACCAGACGTACAATGTAGACGGCGTAGTCTCGTACCAGAGGCAGTACCAGAAGCAGCTGTGCGTCGCACGCCGCGGCGGCGTTACATGCGCGACAGATGTTACACCCCGTGCCCGCCGTCACCGTGACGGGCAATCGTGACTCGTCACGGAGAAAGTCGGCGTGTGAATCATTCAGATCGTGCCCCCCTTGACAGCTACTAATGCTGTACAACGCACTAGCAACAGACTACTGCGCGCTGACAAGGGCCACTGCGCGGTACAGCCTTCCCAGCAGCACCAGCCAAGCACAGCCCACTGCAGCTTTCCCAGCAGTACTCTTCTGTACTGCTAAGCTATTGATTCTGCCGAAATGGCGCAAAACCTACCTCACGGGGGGGTCGACGAGCTTCGTCGTTTGTCTCACGGCGTTTGACATGGCTGGAAGGCGAGGAGGCAGCCCCTTTTTTTTTTTTTTTTTTTTTTTTTTTTCGGAAGTTATAGCTCCAAATGCGTCAACAACACCTTCGGAAAAAAATTATTGCCTTGTGACTTATTAGGCTAGTTCGGGGTGACTCGTACAGAATCGCACCACCGCCTTCACGACTGCCAATACCTTGGTGTAACGCACCACACCATTCCGCATGGAATTTTATACCACCGAAACATTTCTCTTGCCTAGGGATATTTACTTTCTGACCCACTGCATGAGGTGGCGGCGGACTCTGCGATGCGCGAATTGATGGACACGTTGGGGGAAGGTACGGCAGCAAAGCACTTCCCCTAAGCCAGACCTAAAGCTTGTCTGAAGAATTTGTAACAGATGCTGTGGACATCACAAGATAACCATCACTTTGCATAAAATATGCACGTACTTCATAATGTGGTCAACCACTTGTGCTGCGTTTTTACATGCCTAATTCACAGGAGGCAGTCTAGAGCCTGCCATATCCTGGCATTCTACAACGAACTTGCTGTATCTCAGTCCTTACGCATCAAAAGCACGACACAATGGCAACCAACACTTCTATTCTCGCCCAGGCTATCCACCTTCTCGTGCGTCTTGGCCTTAACGTTGATAACCTCCTCCGGTGCCTGTGAAAAAAGAGAGGTCGAACAAAACATATCGTTGGATGAGCAACATACTAGAGTGTCGCTTACCAAGTCATGTAACAATATTGCACCCTTTGAGATCCTTGACGAGGGCAAACATGGAGTAAGAGAGAGAAGGGTGCAAGAGTGTGGGAGAGAATGGGGTGGAAGGGGGGAGGAGAGAGGTGTGAAGGCGTGGAGCCTAGAGTTGCGCAGCCCGACTGAGTTGTGCAATCCGGTCTGGTTACGCATTTCGCAAACATTCATCGCAAACTTTTCTCCGGGCAAAAATTTCGCCAAAACCGCAACCGGTTGCGCAATTCTGGCTTGCACAACCCTAGGATCCACGCACTGAGGGAGGAAAGGCGGGAGGAGCAAGGCAAGGGAGCATGCGCACCTGGAGCAGGGCAGCGAGGTTGGCTTTGATGGTGGGCTTGTGCGGGCTGAGCTTGGGTCGCTGCAGAATGACCGTGGCGTCCAGATTGCCCACCACGTACCCCGCCTCGTGCATGCGCCGCACCTGAGGGCACCCAGCACCACACCACACAAGACACAAGGCAGGGGCAGAGGGCAGAGGGCATGTGGCATGTGGGATAGAAGCGCGTCACTCGACGAGTTCTATCCGTATGCCATATAGGAACACCGTACAGGGCGCTGGTGGGAGGGCGAATGCAGGACTGGCCTCAAACCGTCAACCCACCCTCCCTCACTGAAATCCACATACTCACCCGAACCCCCACTCCACGACCCTCAGTCCCTCAGATCCGCTCCTTTCCCCCACTTGCGCAACTCAAATCCTCTCCCCCTCCCTCGCCTCCACTCTCTCTTCCCTCCCTGCCTCCCCTCTTGTGCGACTCACGGCCTCTTCGAGGAAGAGGTGGGAGGCGGCGCCCTTCCACTTGGGGTCGTTGTCAGGGAACAGCTGCCCAATGTCCGGCAGCCCCAGCGCGCCCAGCACCGCGTCCACAACGCAGTGCAGCAGCACGTCGCCTGGGGGGGGGAGGGAGGATGGGGAGGAGGGGCGGCGGGGGCAGAGGGAAAGGAAAGAGGGGATGGTGGCACACAATTTGGGTTGACGAAGCAGGCACCCCCAGCGCGCCCAGCACCGCGTCCACCACGGACTGCAGCTGCACGTCGCCTGGGGGGGGGGGGGGGGTGGGAGGGCGTGCAGGGGGGTTGTGGGGATGGGGGTGAACGGTTTGGGCTGGAAAAGCAGGGAGGTTGGAGACGCATCAGAAGAGCCCCAGGGCGGCAGGCGGCGAAATGCCAAAGACAATGCACCAAGCGGGAGAAAAGAGGAGAAAGAAGAGAACGCGGGGCATGGGGCCGCAGCCGCGGGGGATGCGTGCATGACGGAGATTTAGCAGCATACAGTGCGCGCAGCAGCGGGTGGGTGAATGGAAACAGAACGGGGTCGGAGGGAATAAGGGGTGGGGGGGAGGGCGTTGGAGAGAGTGGAGAAGGGGAAGTGAGGGTGGTTACTAGGGCAGATGAGAGGAGGAGAACGAGAGGGCATGTGAGCTTGTGCATTCTTCTTTTCTGTATCCTTAATTGCTTCCTCTCCTCTACATGCTATCTCTGCCCCGAATGCTGCACACCCAGGCTCACTCACCCCAGCCCACCCTTTCGCCCAATGCCCAACCACATCCTCCACAGTCCGCGCCCTCTCGTTCCAATCCTCCTCTCAGCCCCTCTTTACCCCCTCCCTTCCCGCCCGTCCCCCCTCCCCCCCCCTCTCCCCCCGTTTCCGCCGCGCACAGCCCCCTTCCCCTCACCGTCGGAGTGCGCGTCACACCCGCGGTCGTGCGGGATGTTCACTCCGCCGATAATCAGCGGCAGGTTCGGCTCCAGCCGGTGCAGGTCGAACCCGTGCCCCACGCGGAACGGCAGCGCCGCCACTGCCGCCGCCGGGGCCGCTGCCGCGGCCGCGACTGGCGCGGGCTGCTGCTGGCAACGAACAGCGGGCCGGCTGGTGCAGATGATGTGCGACGGGGGGGGAGGGCACGGGGGATGCAATGGGGGACAGGGGGAAGTAATGGGGGAAAGGGGGGGAATGCAATGGGGAATTGGGGTGGGGGGAGGGAGGAGGAGGGGAGGGGAGGACTCAGGGGGTGAAGAGCGAAGGGAGAGTGCGGAGGGAGAGTGCGGAGGGAGAGTGCGGAGGGAGAGACAATGGAGGCGAGTATGAAAATAGGGCAGTGCGAAACAGGATGAAGGACGGGGGATGGCGATAGTGGAAGCTAGTGGAATCTAGGGGAAGCTAGGAGAAGCTAGGGGAAGCTAGGAAGCTAGGGGAAGCTAGGAGAAGCTAGGGGAAGCTAGGGTTGAGAAGGAAAAATCACACACGGCAGTCTTCCAACAGCATTGTCTCGGAGTGACATGACTGCGGATAGTACGGTGACAGGACAGGACAGTGAAGTGCAGTGGACATACGCCAGTGGGGTGACACATCGCAGCGGCGCGCTGCTCTTGGCGTTCAGGCCGCTGCCACGTGTCGCACTAGACGAAGCGGCGAGTGCGGTGGCGACGGTGACGCGAGCCGTCAACGAGGCGCTGGCGAGAGCAGCCATGCTGCACGCTGCTGGCTACGAGCTATTAACTCAAGCGGCAAAGTTGCTGGGACGAGAGCGGCCGGTAAGGACACGACGAGTGATGAAAAGCAACGATGCAGAAGCGCGTGAAGCAATGGCTCGGAACGCGGAAATGAGCTGGTAATGTTTCCACAGCACACAAGCAACAGCTGCAATCCCTTCCAAAATGGTGGTGGTGAAACATTTTTCCATTGGGTTTCCAGAGATAACTATCGTTCCAAAACGGTTGAGAGAGTCAAATCGGGGTCATTCACTCGTTTTTGCCGTTGTGTGGTAGGGGAGGGAGGGGGACAGGTGGAATCTTGGGTATTGCTGCTGACGAGGTAGCTTCATCGACAAGGAACCGATCTGAGGTGGAGGTGCGGGAGGAAGAACGACGTGGCGGTAAGAAGGCGCTCCACCAATATTTAGCTGCCAAGTAGCTGGCCAGCTTGAAGGGTCGATAGGACTTGGGACAGCACAAGGGCACGCCCATCGCACATTAATGAATACAGTTACAAAGTGTATCAACTCCACTCTACCTCTAATCGAGTAAATGACATTTACAAGGGGGCATTTTGGACTCAATCGAAAATGCTTTCAATTAACCAGTGACTCTCTTTTGTCTTTTGAAAAGGCCTTTGATGGTTCTCAAGGTTTTCCTCTCAGCTTGCATTGAGAGGTTGGCGAAGGGTCCTTAGTGCTTGTAGTGGCAGCCCCAGCAAAGTCGCATGCTGCAGGTTGCTGGCCTTGTTGCTGGTACCACTCATTGAAGATGACAGTAGCCTTGCTGGAATCAGGACACTTGGACATGAGAGGCCGGCAGTTCATGCCGCCACCGCCACTAGAACAAGCCCATGCAACTGCATTGCTAAGAACTTGCTTCGATGCAGTAGACTTAGGAACGCACCACTTGAGTGAGCTGCCACCTCCAGAGCCACCACCCCCACTCCCGCCGCTGCCGCTGCTGCTGCTGCTGCCGTTGCCGTTGCGGCTACTACTGCCACTGCTGCCACTACTGCCACTGCTGCCACTACCCAGCACGTTGAGGGAGTACTTGGGCTCGCCCTGCATGGTGCACAGCCCCCATGACGCCTCGAAACCGCCAATGGACGTGTCCTTGCGATCCTCGTCAAACATCTCAAACAGGTAAGCGCGGATGGGGGCGTTGCGGCGCTTGGGCGTGCCGCGGCGCGAGAGCAGAAAGGACACCAGCCCGGTGTTCCACTCCTTGGCTGCGGACGGTGAGGCGATGCCTGCTCCTGCCGTCGGCCACCCTGTCTCCCCCACTGGAAGAGGAGGGAGATGGAAGGGGGGTGGGGTGAGAGGGATGCAAGCAAAGCGAGGAGCATTGGTGAAAAGCCGAGGGAATGGGTGCAGGAATGTGAGTGAGGGGGAGATGGAGAGGGAGATGGAGAGGGAGCTCGAGAGGGAGAAGTTCGGGAGACGCAAGGAGGGAGGGAGGGAATGCGCAAGCGATCTAAGGTACGACGACGGCCTGACCGAATTACCAATGAAAGGCATGTTGGAGAAGCCGAGTTTCTCGAAGGACCAGAGCGCAGCGTCAATGGTGGCCTCCATCATGTTGGAGTAGCGGCGGCCCTTGTCGTCGTACGCCCCTGCCCCGCCCTTGAAGAACACAAAGTCCCGCGGGATGTTGCTCGGGTCGCTCAGGTAAGAGAAGAAGGGGTACGCGTTCAGCACGGCGTAGGACCCTGGGGAGAGGGGGGAGGGGGGAGGGGGAGGGGGGAGGGGGATCATGGAGAAATGAGGCCGCACACACCCGGAACGTGGGGTGGGTTCGGGGGAGGAGGGGGGGTGGGGGCGGGGTTTTCAGTACGGGTGGCTGTAACACGAAAGGGCGCTGAGGATGATCCGTCCTTGGAGCAACTCAGCTACTGCAAGGTTAGTACCAGCGCTGAGCGTGGCTAACGGGTTGCACCGGGCTAGTACATTGGTATCATGAGTAATGTTAGTAGTACCTGTTCGGTTGAGGAACGATAGCAGGCTCGCCACCTCGCCTCTCACGCTGGGCACCACCTGCGCGCTGGACGGCGGGTACGTGTCCTGCAGAAAGCTCATGTGCTGCGGCGTGACCAGCTTTATTCTGCGGTGTAGCTTGCGAGCCACGAGCGCCCTGTAGAGCGACTCCATAGCGGGAACAAGAGAACTGAGGAATGGGTTGCCAGGGGAGAGCACCTCGTTCCCCACCTGCAGTGGATGTTTGAACCAAGAGGAGAATGGGGAGGCGGGACGAACACAAACCGGCGGACTGAATGATTACAGACCGAGTTAAGAGGAAAAGAGAGGGCGAGGAATGGGAAGTAATACCCTTTAGAGGGGAATCTACAAGTCCCGTGAAAAACCACTGTTAAGGGCTTTTTTTTGGAAATCGAAATGCATCGAGTTGTATGAGGCGGCATGCTGCGTTAACTTGGACGACGTACCGCAATGGCGAGGATATTCGTCTTCGTCACGAACGGCATTATATTCGCGTCCAGCCACGACAGCGCCGCCGAGTCGCTCTTGGCGAAATCCCCGAGCCGCTCATTGGGCACGCACGTCATCACCTGCAGGCCCGATCCGGCCAGCGCGTTTAGCGCCGTGGGATCCGGCTGGAAGAGCTTGACGGCGCTGAACCCGCGGCGCTTGATTATATCGACGGCCTTGGTGAGCGACACGGGGTTGGAGGAGAGACCGACGCCGAGATTCACGCCGATCCATGGCTTGCTGCTGGCGGCTTGCGCGGCGAGCGGGGTTGAGGTGAAGGGGGGCGAGTTGGGGTTCGAAGAGAGGAGGAAGAGAATGGCGAATGCAGCGACGACGACGAGGGGTGAGGGAGACGAAGGAGAGGCCATGGCGAGAGGGTTCCCCGGTGGGGGGTGTCTCTCTCACGCAGTGCGTGGTAGTATTGAGAAGCCGATGGAGGGTTATACTCGTACGAGAGGGAATGAGCTCGTCTTACGAATGTCGCGGCCCGTGCTTTCCTGCGACGATGAGGGGCGGCGTGGCGATATGTGCTTGCGACCCTACTGGTGTTTCGGCAATGCGGGCATATATATGCTGCGTTAACAACGTGTGCGAGATAGAATCGCTGCGCTGCAAGCATCTACTTGGTTACGCGACGCCGATCGCTGTGATGCTGTAAGTTGGCGCCTCTATGGCGTGCTTGAAAGGGTTGGAGGTGTGTTGATGGCCATACATTGCATGCACGTCTGCATGGACTAGGGGGAGAAAACAGCACCTGCAGAGCCGGAGATAGTTATGGCAGGGAGGAAAGGGAACAGGGGGGTCCTGTGATAAGAGGGGGAAGGTGCATTGGCAGGAAGGAACAAAGAAGCAGCCGAAGTACAATACTTAGTTACCGCATTATGGGCGAAAAGCATGGCTACTTTAGCGAGAGCGATGGCTGACCATTGTGAAGCTACAAACTTGCACGAAAGCTCGCAATAATCGACGAAGTATAGCGAGATGGAACTCCTTTCCGAAGCGCAATCCCACTTCAGGAAATGTCACCATCGTTGCGCAACGCGACAGGAAAATGGTTCAGCTGCTGTGCGAACAAAAACGCCTTCGCCCATCTTGTGCGATGCTTGGTTCGTGCGCCGACAGGCTGGGCGAGTAGTGGTCGTCGTGGCTGACGACTGTGGAGTTGGGGAGGAAACAGCAGGCGCAGGACTTGTCGCAGCGACGTGGCGATGACGGCAACTGCCGCATGCCAAGAAGACTGTCACAAAGACCATCCTCGTGTACACATTCTATATTAGAATAACGTGCTAATAATAACAGAACCCAGGTACATAATTTACAAGGCCTAAACCGCTACAGATGTATGAAACAAAAACATAATATACAATCTAGGGGCACGATACATCATCCGTTTTCCCAAGGGAAGAATCTAAGATACATCATCCGTAGAAGGGCCATGATAGACCAATGGTGAGTTGGTGCAGAAAAACGGAGAGACTACCTGTCCTCCACTGGGAAGCATGGTCAACGAAGGAAACTGGATAAAGCCCATGGGAGGAGAACCTGATGGGACTGCGGCAGCAACAGCAGCAGCAGATGGCGGAGGAGCGACAGGAGGAGGTAGATAAACAGGAAGGGGGAGAGTAGCGATCATGGAAGTGGCTGCACCATCTCTACAGTGGAACGGAGAAATTGCATAACCAGCTATTGCAGCAGGAAAGTTCACGTTTCTCATGAGCCGAGGCATGCCAGTCCAGTCAGTGCCTTGCATGGCTGCCACCTGCAGATGCTGTCCCTGCTGCTGTTGCTGCTCACGCACATCCAAAAACTTTTTGCCCCTCTCGTCCATTTTCCTTGTCACATCTTCAACACTCCTTAGCTCCACATCCTTCCGACCCTGCCTGTCCTCACCCTCTTCAGAGCAGGAACGAGAAACAGCACACTCCCCCGGCTCTTCCTCCTCTCCACCCAGCTCTCCCGCACCACTTACATCGCCTTGCGCACGGCAGCACGACCCAACCGACCCAGAAGCTTCTTGGACAATAGATCTGGAGTCCAGAAGCGGCGAGAAGGAGCCAGTGCCACTGCAGCACGGAGCAGCAGGAGGGGGAACGGAGGCTCCAGGGAGAAGTGTGGCGCTGGTGTCTGCTGACGTGATGTCGCATTGGGTGGGAAGACACTGGTGCTGAGGGAGCCTTGTGTTCCACGGAGCATACAGCTGCTGCTGTTGCTGCAACAGCAGCTGCTGCTGGTGCTGATGCTGCTCCTGCTCTGGCTGGAGTTGCAACTGCTGGTTATCACGATGGCTTGAAAATGGTTGATAAGAGTCTCTTCGCTGCAGGCTTTGGTGCTGCCGCTGCTCCAGCTGCTCTTTTGCGGGCGACCCGGCGTGAAGATCTCGTGCTATTCCTTCAGTGTGCTGCCCCAGCTGTCCCTGCGGAGCTGGGACGCTGCTCACTCCACAAATGTCTTCGTGGCAGTACGCCCGCGAATACATCCGCGATACAAACTCCGACTCCATCCAGTTTAAAAAGTCGTTGTGAGCATCCTCCGTCCAACAGCGCGTCCACAAAAAGCTCTCTCCACGAACTCCTCCTGCGCCCTCTGCTGCTCCTCCAGCTGCTCCTGCTGCTCCTGCTGTTGTTGTAACACGTGCAGCAGGCTCTGAAGCATTTACAGGAGGAAGACTTCTCTCCTTTTCGCAAACCGCGCTATCTCTCTCTACCGAGGGAAGAAACAGTGTCTTCAGATTATCCTGCTGCTGCTGCCGCTGCCGCTTGTGCTCCTGTCCTTCAGAAGATGCAGCAAGTTGCCGCTTCTGGGACTCTGCAGCGAGTTGTTTTTGCTTCCCGAGAGCACGGCCGCCGTCGACGCGAGTCAACGCTCCTGCTGCATCCTGGTGCTCGTCACCAAAGTCCGCCATAGACCTCCGGCGCTTGCGCTGGACGTCAGCACTCTGAGCAAGCACAACCGAGTTATCCATCTCCTGCTGGCAGTTCGTCATGTAGTATGTGAGTCAGGACAGCCGTTGAAAGGCTGTTTCACGGGCGGTCTTGCTTCCAGTCGCGTGTGGGTAGTGATTGAGAGTTGCTGTCGAAGTAACGCTGCTGTTGGAGTCAAGCTGCTGGGTCGCAGAAAGGGACCAGCAGACGCTATGGCACCCCACACTGTATGCTTCAGGAGTCTGTTAGTGTAGTGCTCGAGTGCTTTCCCTGTGAGGTTTGCCCACATCGGGTGGAGACAGAAGCTTGTTCAAACAAGATTCTTCTTGTGTAGGGTAAGTTTCCGAGTGAAGCTGATGACGAAGCATGGGCGCAGAAATCGCACAGACCATTGCTGGAATACACAGGAGGCAAATATATCCTGCATCCAAAACGCAAGCTGGTTTGAAAGAAGACTGCTGGCTTCTGCTGAGCGGGAACTGGCTGGCAGGGACAGGGAAAGAGATTAGCTGAGCTTGCTTGAGGGGTGAAAAAAAATCAGTGGTGGGGCTTGGCGATGAGACGGGAGTACAGCACAGCAACCGAGCTGCGTGTGGGGGAAGAGCAAGCGGACAGAGAGCGCGACCTGGCGGCGAAGGACGAGCGGTGACGGGGAAATGGTGGCTAGGAAGTTTGCGCGCTGGATGGGATTTGGAATGGCGCAGCGAGTTTGGCGCAGCGAGTTTGGCACATAGAGAACATAATCAAGCTCCAGCAGGACAAGGCACGGGATAAAGGGATGCGGCTCAGCCTGTCGCTGCTCGGCACGAAGCACCTTGGGCGTTGCGCGCACGAGTGGGGAGAGGCCGAGTGAAAAAATCGTTATCTAAACCAATCACGCGAACTTTGCTGCGTTGGACCGCCAGCTCTGCTGGAAAAGGCAACGATCGAGGTCGACGAAGCACTGCCACGTGTGCATGATGCGCTTTTCCGTCAGCAAGCTCGGGTGAAAGAACAGAAAAATCGGCCACTTCCACCACTGTACCAGGCAACATGTGTGGCTGGGGGGGCTACTCGAGGCTTATCTTGACAACGGGTATCATCCGTCGTTTGCAGCTTGCTTGTCTCAACGGCATTCCAGTGTCCGTCGATTCCTGAAGGCGGATGTGAGATATCGTGCCGCGCCGCGAGTGCCTTGTGTTTGCTGCGTCCCACCTGGCAGTGCGGTGAGAACATGCCACCTGGACTGCAGCAAATGCATTGGCCAGGGTCATTTTGGGGGATATCAAGCGGGAGCACTTTCCAGGACAACATTGGAGGAATGCGGCTAGATATTTTCGCATGCGCACTTTTTCTGTCACTTGGTCGGGGTGGGTAGAGCATATGTTGTTTGGGCGAAGATCCCAACTGTACTACAGGTGTGCAAACCAGTCTGGCTCCTCAAAATTGACCCTTGAAGTTAGCAAATAACATTCGTGCGGGCAGAACACACAGCCACTGACCAAAGGAAGGGATGAGATATTTTCATCATTTGATTTTGCCGCGGAGCAATGCGATTGGTTGGGAGAAGCCTCGCCGGTGCGGTCACTCTTTTGATCGGTCAGCCAGAGACCTTGGTTTGGGACTTCCGCGGAATCATCAAATCAACCCAAGGATTACAGCACTGTGCACTGTTCTGTGGAGCACTGAATTACTGTACGGGTTGTGAACTGTGCCCTGACATGAGCCCCCCAAGATTCTTGAAGGCTAGCCCAATTCCCATTCGCGTACAACGTGTACGGCGATGCTAGCTCCTGTCAGGATACCCCATATAACGTGTAATGGCTGGTCTACATTGACCACGCTGAGAGGAGCAATGACCACACACGCCAAACTGTGGCTGAGTCACATTGGGACAAACCACAGCAGCAATTGAACTTCATGGAATTTAATGTAATGCATTATATTCGTGAGTTGGTTCCATTGCGCCGCTGTCAACTGGCAAACAGTTTCCCGCAATAAAACGGAACTCCATTCGGCTCCATTATTCCAAACAGCCGGTCATTGGGGGCTGTTATCCATTCTATTTCATTAGTAACATTTGAGACCTCTTTCCAACCTCCCACTTCAGCTGCCCCCCCACTAATGTAGACTGGCAATGAAGTCCCCGGACACATGGCGGTTGGCACGGCAGCAGCGCATACCAACACCAGCAGCAACCCCCGAGCACGGCACGAGTTGGAGTGTTGAAAGGGCCCTTCCCTCCCTGCTATTGAGCAGTGCCAACAACGCACAAGGAGAAGAGCGAGCACTGCCATAGGTTGAAGAGGGAATCCGAGCAGAAGGGGCTGGGGAAAGCAGAGGGCGAGCTGGTGGGGACATTGACGGTGCTGCTGGTGAAGGTGGAACCAGGGGAGGGAGGACCAGGGGAGGTTGCATATGCTCCTTGTGGCGTGGTGATTGGATTTGTAGTGGCAGGGGTTGTCGGTATGCTGCTGGTGGAGGTGGCATGGTGGATGGTGGGAATGGTAATGGGTGAGGGGGGCACTGTGGCAGTTGTGAGAGGAGGCACTGCTACCCCTGCTGCTGCTGCTGCTGTATCTGGGGGGGCTGCCTGCTGCATAGAGCATGGGGGCAGGGAGCATGGCAACAACAGGGAATACAGGAGGAGCAAAAGACACAAGAGTGATTCGGTTGAGTTGCTCACTTGAGAAAGGGACTGTGGAAAAAGAGAAGAGCGTAGGTGATTGTGTGTGTGTGGAGGGGCAGGGCAAGCTGGTGCTGACCTGGTGGGGGGCCGATGGGACGCCCACCCAGGTACGGCCCTTATGGGTAAATCCAGCACGTGTCGTCTCCCCATCGCCCACTATGCCCATCACATCACCAGCTCGCTTCGTTCCTCCGTCCCCAACCCCCCCTCCTGCTGCTCCTCCTGCTGTTGCCCCTTGAGTCACTGCTGAGCATGCCAGGGCCATCATCTCTCGCATCTCAGCCGCTGCCTGCTCCTCTGCCGCAGCCACAGCTGCTGCTGCCGCTGCCACGAGTGCTGCTGCTTCAGCTGCAGAATACACAGGTACATCCACAGCAGCATCGCTACCAGCAGCACCAGAATTGCCAGCAGCACCAACACCACCATCACCAGACGCAGCTGAAGCATCAGAATTCCCACCACCCTTGTCACCAGCACTAGGAGCAGCAGCAGCAGCAGCAGCAGCAGCGGCGGCGGCGGCAGCATCCGAGGGAGCCCCATGGACGAGACGCAGAACCGCATGGAACCGCAGAAACCCTCGAGTCAACCCATCACAACCCACCGCAGATGCTGCTGTTGCTGCCGCAGCCAGGACCTCCAGAGCCCAGGGCAGCAAATCAGGATTTAAGGGCGTGAAGGGGGATGAGGCGGATGGGGGGGGGAGAGTTAGGGAACGAGCGAGTAAGGAAGGGGGGAGGGAGGGGGAGAGATAGGACTGGGAGCGAATGAGGGTCGGAAAAAGGCCTCCAGGTGAGGCTTTAGAAGAGGGGAGAGCGTGCGGGGGTGGAGGGGTCATGTGGGGCGTTATGAGTGTGTGGGAGGGGGTGCTTGCATGCAGGGGAGTGGGAGTGGGTGGGAGGGTCGGAGAGAGTGTGGAGGAATAGGACAGGTGAGACGGGGAGGAGAGAGTGAGAAGAGCGCGTGTGAGGTGGGGGGTGAGGAGGAGAAGCAAGGCACGGGCGATTAGGGGACTTGAAGCGGTGATAAAGGGAGGCCTGTGTGTGTGTGAGAGAGAAGGGGGGGAGGTGGGGGGGGGGGGGGTTCGGTCCAGAAGGAGGTTGGGAGGGGACAGAAATGGGAGAGAAGAGAGGGAACAGAGAGATGGAAAAATGATGAGCATGATATAATAGGGTCATGTTGGAAAGAGACAGAACGAGATTATGGGGAAACGAAGGGAAACGGGATGGGGCAGAAATGTGTGCATAGGGGAGGGCACGGAGGGCACGGAGGGCACTGAAGAGCATGGAAGGGGAGGAGGAGAGAGGTTGGGTACGTACCGGGATTGTTGCGTGCTGGCCCGAACCTGCTCCCTCAGCATAAGTCGTTGCTCCCTCTCAATGCTCTGCAGAAGCTGCTGCTGCTGCAACCAACACTCCTCCTGCAGCTCCCGCTGCTGGTGCTGCTGCTGCTGCTGCTGCTGCTGCTGCTTCTCATGCCCCAGCTTGTTACGAGAGGAAGAGCGATGGTAGTGCTGCTTCATATGCTGCCGTGCACCGACTCGTGTGCCCAGCTGCTTTTCAATCCCCGAATGCCCTGATCCTTCCCTCCCCTCACCACTTCCACCAGAGGACTTGCTCTCAGGCAGTGTAATCCGCACGCTCCTGCTCACACCCAGCCCCTTCCACCTCCGCCCACTCGGCCCTGCATGCGGCTCGGAGTCTGGATGCCCGTGCATGGTGCGGGGGGGAAGGGAGCGAGAGCGGGAGAAATGGGAGGTGGTAGGGAGAGGAGAGGATGCTGGAGAGGAGGGCGGGAAGGAGGAGAAGACGGAGGGAGAGGGGGAGAAGAATGGGGCCCAAGAGTGGGAAGGAGGAGGAGGGCCGGGCGGAGAAGAGAGCGAAGGGGAGGGGGCAGGATGACGGGAGGACGGCGAGGTGGAGGAGGAGGGAGGCGGGAGGTGGTGCATGCGGATCTCATTGAGGGTGATGCGGCGGTAGAGGGCGGAGAGGAGGGAGGGAGGAAGGTCGCCGCCATTGTCGATGCCTCTGTTGTTGCGGATGAACTCGGCTTCTGTCATCTGATGATAACAGAGGGTGGAGGGAGGGCGGAGGGAGGGCGGAGGGAGGGCGGAGGGAGGGCGGAGGGAGGGCGGAGGGAGGGTACAGGGGGGGTAGAAGACGGGACAAGGGATGGGTGCAGCTGGTTAGAGCGGTGGACTGGAAAGGTCGAATTGGGCGAAAGGGCGAAAGGAAGGTGAAGGGGAAAATGGCAGGTACCACCTCCGCTTTCTCTCTGACGCACCTCTGATGCACCATTTTCCCCATCGCCCTTCTTCGTAGCGCACGTCTTTCCCCCCCCACCCGCCTGACCCACCCACCCACCCCCTCCCCCCCGCCAACCCACCTTGTTCTTGACGCAGGGGCTGTGTGCGTCGGTGTTGAGCATGGCGATGGAGTAGGCGGGCACGTGCGCCCACACCCTCTTTTGAGGCGCCTCAAAAATCGATTTTCCGTGCACCTTTTCGTTTCTCCCCCCCCGCTCCATCTTCTTGACCCACCTTCTTCTTGACGCAGGGGCTATGAGCGTCGGTGTTGAGCATGACGATGGAGTAGGCGAGCACGTGCGCCGTGGCGGCGCAGCTGAGCGCGCCCGGGTTGCAGCGGCAGTAGTGCACTGCCAGCGCCTCCATCACGCGCTCGATCTTCTGCGCCTCGCCTGGCAGCCGGAACCACTGCAGCACCACGCGGATCGCCTCGTCCAGCTCTAGACCCTGTGCCACGCGGAATAGGAACACGAGCAGCAGCAGCAGCAGCAGCAGCAGCAGCAATAGCAACGGCAACAACAACAACGAGCATAAAACTAGTGTTGTAGAACAGAAAAGTCCCACCGGTGACATGTGGGGGAGGGCGAAGCAGCGGACCATGGCATAGAACATGGGCATGAGGGCAGGCGAAAGGGGGTGTGCATGGGGGGATGTGCACGTGGGGGTGAGCATGGGGGGGGGAGGAGGGGGGGGGGGGGGACGAGCAGGGCAGGGCAGGGCAGGGCAGGGCAGGGCAGGGCAGGGGAAGGCAGGGCAGGGCAGGGATTCAGAGCAAAGCAGGTGGCAGTTACCCGGAGGTCGAAGGAGGCCATGAACGCCGAGAGCACAGCAGCAGCGTGCGGGCCTCTGTCGCCCAGGTAGCTGCCGATGGCCGTGCGGCAAAGCGCAGGAGCTGTGCGGAGGAAGACAGCGATGTAACGCGGCGAGAGGGATGTGGAGGAGGAGGAGGGGGGCGAAGAGGCGGGGCAAGAGGCGCAGGGGGAGGGGGAGGAGGAGGGGGAGGGGGAGTGGTGGTTTGAGAGGTGGTGGATGGAGGAGAGGGAGGAGAGGGAGGAGGGGTGAGGATGGGCGTTGAAGCGGTGAATTGCTGCGTGGTACTGGACCTTCAGTGACACCTGCTCACACAGATGCTGCCACGACCAGCCAGCACCATAGGCACCATTGGCACCATCACTGCCATCACCACCACCACATGCAGTAGCAGCAGCACCACCACCACCACCGCCAGCACCCGCACCACCATTACCAGCGGTATCTCTCTCGCCCCTCTCTTCCTCCCTCTCCCTAATTCCCGTCTCTCCCCCCTCCATCCCTTCCAAACCTCCCCCCTCCTCTTGCTTCGACCTTGCCCAGGCAGCCAGGGATCGCAGCAGCGAGGCAAGGGCAGCAAGGGCGGCCATACGAAGAGCCTCATGTGATGGGCTCGTGAAATTGGCGGCAAGGGACGGGGTGATGGGAAGTGAGGGGTGATGGGAGAGGGACGGGGATGGGGAGGGGTGTGTGGATTGGGAGATGGACGGGGAAGGGGAGAGGCATGGGGAGGAGGGGGAAGAGCGGAGGGAGGAGCAGGAGCGGCAGCGAGAGAGGGAGTGCGAGCATGGGAAGGTGGAGCCTGAACTGCTGCTGCTGCTGCTGCTGCTGCTGTGGGGCCCAGGGGTGGCGCCAGTGCTGCTGCCATACTGACAGGTTGGCGTGTAGGGAGACACAGAGGCAGATGCAGAGGCACATGCAGAGGCAGATGTATAGGGAGAGTAGGCGGGTGATTGGGCTTTCAAGCCGAGGGCTGGAAACAGGGATGTGGGAGAATGGAACTGCTGTTGCTTGGGATGATGCGGTTGATGCTTTCGGTGGTGCTTGTGCTGCTGCTGGGAGCAGTGGTGTGCGTCTGGGGCGAGAGGGGCGGAAGCAATGTCCGCTAGAGCACTTATGGCCCTGTGAGAAGGGGGTCGGGGAAAAAGAGAGGAGGGGGAAAGGTTTTTTAAGTTAAATCAGGAAAGAAGTCAGTTAGAACAACTATGGACTTGTGTGAGCAAGGGGATGGGGAAAAAGAGGAGAGGCAAGGGGAAAGAGAGGGAGAGAAAATAATTGAAGCCCCTACAAACAGCGTAACGCCCCAACAGCGTAACGCTCCAACAGCGTGATGCCCCAAAAGCGTGATGCCCCAACAGCGAGTCTCGTGACTCACGGCAGCATGAGGTCCTCCCCTCCCGGGCAGCAGTCGTGGTTGAGGAAGAGATCGAGGCACAGCTGGGGGTGGCCCAGCAGCAGGCGCAGGGCGGAGAGGAAGGGCGCTTTTGCTGATAGAGGGAGTGCACGGCCCTGGAGAGGCTTGAGCAGCATGTGGGATAGGAGAGGGGCGATGTGCGAGTGGAGGGGGGCGCGAAGGAGAGAGAGGAGGCGGAGGAGGAGGGAGAGGGAGAGGTGGCAGAGCTGGGTGGTGGTAGTGGTGGTGGGGGCGGTGGGGTGGGGGTGGTGGGGGTGGTGGGGGTGGTGGGGGTGGTGGGTGAAGGGAAAGAGGGGGAGGATGTGGAGTGGACGAAGGAGAGAGTGGGGATGGCAGTGGTAGGGAGAGTGGACGGGGCGATGGCTGCGTTGACGTTGCTGATGAGGGCGAGGCAAAGGGAGTGCTGCTTGAGACGGTTGACAAGCCTGCAAGGGGGTGGGGGGAAGAGAGGAGAGGAGCAACAAAGCCGGAAGAACAAGGGAGAGAGAGAGAGAGAGAGAGAGAGAGAGAGAGAGAGAGAGAGAGAGAGAGAGAGAGAGAGAGAGAGAGAGAGAGAGAGAGAGAGAGAGAGAGGAGTGGGATGGAGCGAAGATGGAGGAGTCGGTACTAGCGTGCTCGAAAAAATCCCCCGAGGGAGGCTATGAGGGATAGGCGTGGGTGCACAGGCGTGGATGCACAGGCGTGGATGCACAGGCGAGGGTGCACAGGCGTGGGTGCACAGGCGTGGGTGCACAGGCGTGGATGCACAGGCGTGGATGCACAGGCGTGGATGCACAGGCGTGGATGCACAGGCGTGGATGCACAGGCGTGGATGGGAGGGCATGCGAGGCGTGGCGTACCGAGGGTGTGAGGCGAGTTGAGGTGCAGCGGTCTCCACCACCCAACACAGCAACTCCAACGCTGCCACACCAACTTCCGCCTCCCCTCCATGCTCCTCCTCCGCACACCCCTCCTCCACACACTCCTCCTGCTCCTCCTCCTCCTCCTCTTCCTCCTCCTCCTCCTCCTCCTCCTCCTCCTCCTCACACCCCCATGCGCCACACCCCTTCTCACATCCGTCTACCTCACCCACTCCCTCCTCTTGCTCGACCATCAGTCCACACATCTCCCCTTTCCCTTTCCTCTCCTTCCTGCCCTCCCAACCCTCCCCTCTCTCCTCGCCCTTTCCATTCCCTCCTCCCTCCTCGCCCACCCTCTCCACTCCCTCCCCCTTCGCCCCACCCACTCCCCCCTCTACCCCCACATCACTACCTGCCCCCATCGCCTCCCCACTCAACCCTCTCTCTCCACCTTCCGTCCCCACCATATCCGCCCTTTCCCCCCCCTCCACATCTCCCGCTTTCCTTCCTTTCCCGCTTCTCCCTGCCCGACTCTCCTTGCCGCCGCTCCTCCCCTGCTCCCTCCCTTGACTCTCCCTCTCGCCACGCTCTACCCTGCTATGCCCTCTCCGCCTGTGTCCGTGCCCGTGCCCATACCCTGTGCTGCCATGCACGACGAGACGGCACAGCTCGTCCAGCAGCAACAGAGCATTGCAGGAGCACATGGGACCACAGTTATCCCCCCGGCTGTCCCATGCGACACCAGCAGCAGCGGCAGCAGCAGCAGCGGAAGCAGAAGCAGAAGCAGCACCAGCAGGAGCACCAGCAGCAGCAGCAGCAGCAGCAGCAGAGTGTGAAACATCAGTCTGAGCATCCACAACGCTACTACAGCTACTGCTGCCGCTGCTGCTGCTGCTGGCATGGCTGCTCATGCCACTACTGCTGCTGCTGCTGCTGCTGCTGTTGCACCTCTGCAAATGCCTACCATTAATGCTGCTGATACCGCTGATGCTGCTGACGCTGTTACTGCTGCTCATTCCGCTGCTGCTGTCGGCAAGGCTACTGGTGCTGGCAACCGAGGGCAAGGAGCAGCAGGGTTCTGAGTCTATGTCCTCCGCATTATCACGCCCAAGCAAGAGTAGCCCCGGTGGTGCTGATGCCATGCATGGGATATGTGCGGCGGCTGCCGCTGCTGCTGCTGGTGTAAGTGAGGTTGTTGCAACAGGCGGTTCTGGGATGGGCGAGAGGGAAGGAGAGGAGTACGAGGAAAGAGGCGGAGACACACAAGGTATGAAACCGACATTGCTGCACGCCGCGACATTTGGACGCCTCTGCTGCTGCTGCTGCTGCTGGTTCCAACCGTGCTGCTGGTGCTGCTGCTGCTGGTTCCAGCCCTGCTGCTGCTGCTCTTGCTGCAGTGGCCTCTGCGCCAGCAGTTCTTCCTCCCTCTCCTGGATAGACGGCGGCAGCGGAGGCTTGCACTGCCCATAGCTGCTGCTGCTGCTGCTGCTGCTGCTGCCACACCGTATGTCCCCTTCACTCGCCTGCACCGCACACTCTGCCTCCCTATCCACATCCACTCGTCTATTTACCCCTCCCCTTATCCCCGCCTGTGCAAGCATGAACCGTGCATCCACCCTATCCAGGTTACCCACACGGGCTATCCACACACCGCCACACCCCCACTCACCACCTTCTCCTGTGCCTCCCACCACACCCCCCTCCCCACTCCCTCCTCTCACTCCCTCCTCTTCCACTCCCTTTCCCAACCTCCCACCACCCTCAGCGCAATCTCTCCCCTCTCTCCTTCCCACCCTCCCCCCTTGCTGCCCCAGCGCCAGCGCCAGCTGCTGCTGCACCCAGAGCCAGTCACTTTCCTCCAGCTCCTCCTCGCCCCCGCCCTTGTCCCACAGCGGAGCAGCACTCAGGAGCGAGGGGGGGCGTGCACTGAAAGAAGAAGCGTCCACGTCCATCCCTGAAGGGCTTCTGGGAATTTTCAAAAACCTATCACAGCTTCTGAGAGCGTCATCTGTAGCTCGTGCTGCGCCCTGCTCGCCCTGCTCGCTCTGCTTGCTGGGGCTCGGCTCGTTCTGCTCGTTCAAAGACTTTCCCATGAGAGTGCCTGTCAGCATGTGCGCCAGGGCGGCTTTGGCGAGTGCTCTCAGCCTGCCGTTGGCCCTGCCTGCTGCTGCTGCTACCGCTGACTCTCTGCTCCTCTGCTTCGCCTCTGCTGATGCTCCTCCTTCCCCCCCTGCTCCTCCTCCTGCTGCTGCAGCAGCTGCTGCTGCTGCTCCTGTTTCTCTCCCCTTCTCCTGTGTCTCAACGTCACCACCATCTTCTGTCTCTGCAGCACGCCCTCTCCTTATCCCCTTCATGCGCCCACTCCAACCACTGCTGCCGCCGCCACGCCCACTGCCCCTGCTGCTGCTGCTGCCAGTGCTGCTGGTGTTGCCGCTGCTTGCAGTGCTGCCCCATCTGGTGCTGCCACTACCGCTAATACCGCTCACACTGCTAATACTGCCCACACTGCCGATACTGCTGAGACTGCTCATGCTGCTGACGCGGCTACTGAAACGATCGTTCCCTGCACCCCCCTCTCTCCGAGTCACCGCCTCTCTCTGTCTCTGCTCCTTCCTCTCCCCCCTCACCAGTGCCATAACCTCTCTTCTGGAGGCAAGAGACGCGGGCGCGGGCGCGGGCGCGGGCGCAGCCCCAAAGGCCATGCGGGAAGTCTGGCTGACCAAACACTTGCCACCAGGCGAGGAAGAAGGGGCGCGCATACGAGAGGCAGGGGGGAGGGGGTGCGGGTGCAGGTGCAGGGGCGTCGGAGCGGGGGTGAGTGGGAGTGGGAGGGGTAGAGGTGAGAGTCTTAGGGAGAAGAGGCGGTGGAAGAGAGAGAGGAGGATGGGGCCGTGGAGGCGAAGGGAGGGCGCGCAGGCGAAGGAGAGGAGAGTACGGACCACCTGATACTGCAGCGCAGGAATGGCAGATGCTGCAGAGGCAGCAGCAGGGGCGGTTGTAGGGGCAGCTGTAGGGGCCGCAGCAGCAGGCGCAGCAGCAGGGGCGGTGCTCGATTGTAGCACACTCGGTACATGCAAACCTGATGCCCGAGGTGTGGAAGTGCGTTCTGGGCGTGCGGAGGAGGGAGAGCAGGCAGGTTGGACAATGGCAGGTAGCCCAGCACAGAGGCAAACGACATCGAGAATTCGCCATGCCACGCCACCGCTGCTGCTGCGCCTTCTCTTGCTTTTGATTTTGCTTTTGCTGCTGCTACTGTTCATGTTGACTCTGCATTCCTCGACCGTACCAGTAAAGACCATCGCACTTTCCTTGCCTGTCACTCCTGTCGCTCCCCCGTCGGTTTCCCCCCCGACACACGCGCAACCCCCATCCCCGAGGCATCCCCTGATCGCCCCGCGCATCAGCAGCTCCTGGAAGCACTCCAGCGCGGCCTCCGCCATCATGCTCCCCGCGCGCACAGCGTCCGCTTTGCCCCGCCGCGTCGAGCAGTCCGCGCTTGTTTTTGCGCCAAGAGTCATGACGTGCTTCGCGCTGAGCACTGCGGCAGCTGGCGCAGAATCAGAATCAGCAGCGGCAGCGACAGCAGCGGTAGGTTCAGGGGCGGACCAATCTCCCCCGGCAGCGGCGGCGGCGGCGGCGGCGGCGGCGGCGGCACTGCAAGCGGAGAGCAGCGGGCGCAGCAGCGTTTCCGCCTCGAATTGAGGAATTTCGCCCCACGAGCTTTCAACGAGACAGGACGTGTCAATTACCGCCCTTGCCCTTCCCCTTCCCCCTCCGCGCCTGCTGCAAGCACCGCATCTACCGCCCTTGGTACAAGGCGACGCTGCTCTAGAGCTCCCTGTAGCTTGCGCGTGTGACTGCGCGTGTGACTGCGCGCGTGACTGCGCTTGTAACTGTGCTTTTTCTTCCACCTCTTTCGCCTGATCCCCATCTTCGTCCGCCACCTCTTCCTTCTCCGCTTGCTCCCCCTCTTTCCCCTCCACCACCTCCTCCTCCTCCTCTCCATCTTCCCCCGCTTCCCCCTCTCCCCCCTCTTGCACCTCTTCCGCTTCGTCCCCCTCCTCGTCCCCCTGCTCCTCGAAGTCGAGCCGTCTAGCGATGGCCTTCTCGTCAGGAGACTCCATCGTAGCATCGGCTCCGCTGCGCGCCGAATCCCCCGAGTGAAAGCCTGAATCTGGACCAGAACTGGCTGCACCGCCAGCAACCGCACCGCACCGGCTCCCCGAATCTACAACAACTCCTCCTACTACACCAGCACCGCCAGCAACATCTACGGCAGCACCAAAAGCGGCGGTGGCGACTGTTGCTGCCGTCGATCTCCTCGAGAGGATCGACGGCGTGGCAAAGCCCTCCGTGCTGCTTGTCCCAGTACGAGTCGTAGCATCGTCGCCCGCCGCTTCACCTGCCGCTTCACCCGCCGCTCTACCAATACCAACAGTTACAGGCGTGGCGGTGGTGGCAGTCGTAGTACCGGCAAGCGCTTCGTGGAAACTCGTCGCACCGGAGGCAGAGAGGCATCGCATGGCCGTGCGACACTCGGCAGCTACCTGGGCGTAGCGATCGGACGTGCATGCGACGTCCAGGACGACAGTCAGGGCGGGGAGAACGACTGCGTGGATGTCGCCTAGAGAGAGGCTCGAGCCGCGAGTGGCGTGTGGCGTGTGCATGGGAATTAACGGCCTCGGCCATCTGTGGCCCTGCTGCTGATGTGGTGCCTCGCTGGCGGTCATGGTAGGATCGACAATTCTAAGGAAAGCAGACCGTGCTCTGTGCTCCCTCCTCACGTTTCCATGGTAGGATCGTCAATTCTCCAGCTAAAATCAATATGAGCAATTATAAAACGATACACGGAAACAGTAGACGACGGCTTAGACCTAAGCCTCATATCCGACGCTGGAGTGGGAGGGAAAATGTTCAGACCTCGTAAAAGTTGAACAGAGTGCATTAGATGATCTATTGAGAGGATGCGCTTGTCCTAGGCAGGCTGTAAAGCAGGAGGTTCGGACCAACGCAGTGGATCATCCCATCACCCTGACGACAGGAAGTTTTGTGTGGGACGTGACGCCAAGCAGCATGCTGGCTGGTGTGGAGGGACGACCCCAGAGCATGGCCCAAGTAGGGAGGAGGTGTGTGTCTGTGGTGTGGTGTGGATGGTCAGTGGGGGGAGAGATGAGGGAGGAAGCTGGTAAAATTGATGGCATGGGCGCCACCTCTCCGACCAACCCAATCTCGAGGCGCCAATCGGTCGAGTGACAAATGCGGTCTCCTCGGAGATCGCATGGGATGGTCGGAGAGGGTGAGCGTGGATCGGCGAAAGAAGGATCTCCCATCTTACGTCATCCACCAGCTACTGTACAGTATCACTCCAGTCGTTCATCGTCGCAAGCGCGGAGTTTGGCGACGCGGCGAGGGAATGGAGGGTCCGCGAACGAACGACGTTTTCATCCGACAAACGTGCGCTGCCCTTGAAAATGCCGCGACGGCTGGCGGAGGGTAGGGGCGATGCGTTTGCGACGGGCTTTTCAGCGGGCTGGGGGGAGCGGAAAAAAGGGCATCCCATCCCATCCCAAGATCCAGGGTTGCAGAAGATTATGCACGGGCAGGGCACAACCCAAAATTGATGGTGATAATGTATGGCTGATAATGTACTGTAGGAAGGAAGCAACGGTTTGCTGGGTTGGTGGGTGGGAGGGAGGAATGTAGACAGAATGCTCTCGCTCGAACCGTGGTGCTTTCCGTCAAAAGTCATGGGCCCTGGCATGCCGGGTTGGGGACATCAATGGCAGCCTTTCGCTGATGTGGCATCGAGGCCCATTTCAATAGTAGTTTTTTTGCCCGACATTGCAGTTCAAAGGCGTGCTGTTCTTGGGAACTCCGCTTCGTGCAGGATGTCGAGAGGTTGAAAGTTGGGTGTTGCAAAGGTTTTAACACCGTGTTGCATAGGTTATGACACAGTCCGGGTCCGAGTTATGAACAGCGAACCTTGATGCCTGATCCAGGAGTTACGGGAATTCTGACCAGCCTCCCACCCCTCGCCACCCCAGATGCCAGCAATCATGACACAACCAGGTCCACCCGGGAAACTAGAGTACTCCAGATCCTGGAACAAAAATGTGGAAGGTTCATAGTGTAAACTTCCACAGGGTTGTCGAAAACGAAAAAGAGGACCCTGGCTAGGGCTACGATGAACTCACGCTAGGCCTGCGCGCGACAGGGGGCATGGCCAAAACGGTGACCTGTGCTTGACTGGTTGACTGCCGTCGAGCCGCGTAGCGGACGCCACCACCACACCCTAGCACCAATGGAGATTTGCAGGCGCGGACAACCTACACCAGCATACATGTACAGATGGAGAAACATGTTGTTATGAACTATAAGTCAAGAGTATAGCGCATAATACTATAAGAGGAACGTGCTTACAGAGTCCTTCAGAATGTTGATAGAAATGAGGCCTATGCAATATATAGGGCGATTGACCAGGGGTTGAATGTCGAGGGTTGGACCAGTCAAGGGCTCGATAGTCCCGAGGGTGACGGGGTCAAAATGGGTTCGGGGCGACTCGGGATGAGGTTGGGGCCAACGAGGTCGGCGGTGCTATAATGTAAGAATAATTTACTAGTGTGGGACACCTAGAACATATACCTGTTGGGTTGTACTCACTAGAAGCACACACCTAGGCTAGCCTATAATTTCGACATACAGCATATGTATAAGTTGACACACCCCCTAGGCTAGAGAAGGGGTGGTGCTAAGCAAGAAGCACACAGCTCAGGGTGGCATCTTAGTCCAACCACTGAGGCAGGGGTCCGGAGACCAGTCAGCAAGAGTACAAACAAGACTAAAGCAAACTAGGGCGGCACTACTAGTCCAGCCACTAGAGGCAAGGCCACAAGGCCAGTCAGACATGTATATATAGTAGAGAGTATACAATCAGGGTCCTAAAAAGTGAATAGCTACAGGAACAAGACCAAGCTGGACTGAGCAACAGACGATGAGCGAGTGCATCTCCAAGAGATAGCACCCGAACCAAGGCTAAAACAGTAGCCCTGAGATGACCTAAGAGTCTCAGAGTCGTCTGCCCAAGAAGCGTCTGTGTGCCCAGTGAGAACCACTGGCCTGCGTCCTCCTAGCACTAACCCCATGCCCGATGTACTTGCTAGATATCGCAAAACCCTCTTAGCGGCAGACCAGTGCTGAGGTCGGTGTCTGCCAGTGGCCACAAAGCGAGCCAGGATGCTGAAAGGGTATGCGAGATCTAGGCGAGTGAAGATCATTAGGTACATGAGGCAACCCACCAGCTCTGCGTAGGGGCCGCTGGGCTCTACTGGCTCCTTAGGAACAGGAGCGGAGAGCCCATGGTCTACATGTAGAGGTGTGGGCTGTGCGGAGGAGAACTGAAGACCAAACCTCTGAAGGACCTGACGCACCAAGTGTGACTGTGTCAGAGTGATGGTGCGTGTTGTTCTGTCCCTGGAGATTTGCAGGCCAAGATAGCGACGCAACTCTCCAAGGTCAGTGCAGGTGTATCTCTTCAGCAGCTCGGCCTTCACGGAGGCCAGTGCGTCCCTGTCAGCAGTAGCGAAGACCATGTCGTCTACGTAGACAAGGATGTAGAACGGAGTCTGGCCGGAACGCACAAACAGTGAGGGGTCAGCAGAGGACGGAAAGAACTGCATGTCTGCTAGCGTGGCACGCAGTGTGTCGTGCCACTCGCGGGGAGCCTGGCGCAGGCCGTAGACCGGGCGCCTGAGAAGCCACTGGGTTCCAGGGGGGAAAGTACCAGTGAAGCCCTGTGGTCGACGCAGGTAGACCTGCTCGTGTAGGCTGCCCTGAAGAAATGCAGTAGACAAGTTAAGGGAGTGAAGCTCGTAGTCGCGCTGTGCTGCTATGTGTAGCAGTGCCCGAAGAGTAGTCATTTTTGGGGTCGGGGTGAAGGTCTGGAAGAAGTCCACCCGCTCGCGCTGGCTGAAGCCTCTGGCCACGTAGCGCGCCTTGAAGACAGGCGGCTCTCCAGGGGGGTGCTTCACCTTGAAGAGCCATCGACCATCGACTACGTTCACCCCAAGAGGGGGAACTGCGTCGACGCAAGTGCCGGTGGACCTCCAAGATGCCATCTCCTGCTCCATGGCAGCTATCCACTGAGAGGCCCAGGGTCCCGAGGTGGCCTCAGCGTAGGTGCGAGGGGTCGGGATGTTGAAGGCGTCTGGGAGAGGCCGGGCGGGCAATAGGAGGGGCCGGGCGGGCGCTAGGGGCCAGGGTGGTGCGGAGGGGCCAGGCGGGTGCGACGGGGCCAGGCGGGTGCGACGGGCCGGGCGGGCGCGACGGGTGCTACGGGCAGGCGGGCGCTGTGGGCCAGGTGGGTGCTATGGATCGGGCGGGCGCTAGGGGCCAGGGTGGCCCGGAGGGGCCAGGCGGGCGCGACGGGGCCAGGCGGGTGCTACGGGCCGGGCGGGCGCTAGGGGCCAGGGTGGCGCGGAGGGGCCACGCGGGCGCGACGGGGCCAGGCGGGTGCTACGGGTCGGGCGGGCGCTAGGGGCCAAGGTGGCGCGGAGGGGCCAAGTGGCTGTTACGGGCCGGGCGGGCGCTAGGGGCCAGGGTGGCGCGGAGGGGCCAGGCGGGCGCGACGGGGCCAGGGAGGTGCGACGGGCCGGGCGGGTGCTTAAGGGCCGGGCGGGTGCGAGAGCTAGGTAGGGGGAGGGAGAGGCTAGGGCGCGGGCGGAAGCGGGCGGATGGACCTAACCTGTTCTGATACCATGTTAGAATATAAGAATAATGTACTAGTGTGGGAAACCTAGAACATATACCTGTTGGGTTGTACTCACTAGAAGCACACACCTAGGCTAGCCTATAACTTCTACGTACAACAAATGTATAAGTTGACAGGCGGGGGCTGGTTTGGCGCAAGAACCAAGGGCCGAGCCTGTGGACCCGAAAGGTTCGCGTGTACTCGCTGTGGCGACGAGCCCGAGTAAGGAATCATAATTCCTTACACTCTCCACCTTCTAAAGAAAGGCACACCCTTAATCGAGGCCAAACAGTCATTAAATTAATCCCCGATGTGACTATAAGTCTTCAGCCTTGTGACGAGCGTAATGATTACGCCGACTTGACGAGGTCTTGAGGTCGAACTGAAATCAAGGGCCAAAAAGCGTCGAAATGACCGCTTTTAATCTCAGTCGTCGAGGATGGTCGAATTCGGGCAAGGGTAAATACTCCAGGGAAAACGGTAAACAATGAAACTGTCGAGTGGTCGATTGATGATGACGCGTCGTAGGTGAACATCTGGAAATGATGACTGGCGAATAACGTGATAGTCGATGAAATGAAGAAGCCGCTCATCAAACGCGAGGTCGTTCGTGTCATTTTCGAGAGCACGCGTCCGTGTCCCACGAAAGTCAGCGAACTCCATCAACGAAGTGATGAAATCAGATGCGAAAGCATAACGGTGACGAATGTTGCTCGAAGATGATGATGGAACACGCCGAAGGGTCAGTCGAAAATTTGCAGCACAGCTGCACTCCTCCCCATCCCAAGAAGAAACAACTCCCAACCACCCAGGTAAAAATCCATGAAAACCTGGTGCTCCAGGGTAGTCGAAATAATGCCACACTGCTGCTTAAAATCTCATAACTATGCTTCGAAGATGCCGTTGAAATATATCTAACCCATTAAAAAATGCGAATCATAATGACTCCAAAATCCGCTTCAGGTAAATTGTCTCAGGGTAAACCTCGTCCGCAACTACTGTTCTAGAAGACGCCCACACGAACTCAAAAAATCTTCAGAAGTCAAACACTGCTTGCGCGCTGGCCCCAATACAGCTTCAACAGTACTGCTGCCAAATTTCCTGTAATCTGTACTGAACCACTCCCGTGAAAAAGCTTGAACGGAACCCCGGGTCGAATAACGCTAGCTGCATCAGCTTCTTTATCAGTACACGCCGAAATATTCGGGAAGAGCCG